TAATGTTTTTAAAATATTTTCTTATTTATAATCATTCTTTTTCAATACAAAAAAAAATACTCAAATTTTATATTTAAAATATAAATATAGCTTAATTAAATTTATACTACATAAAATTAAACATAAAAGTCACCAAAGACAAAAACTATGGTAGTAGATTTATAATCATTTGTTAAACTTTATATGCAACAGCAAACTTTAGTTCTTTAATAGAAAATGATGGCTACTTTGGGAAAAAGTTGTAATTCATAGGCTGGGTTGAAAGACTGTTCACAATATAATAATTATGATAAATTGATTTTACTTCAGCAATCCTCTATATCTATTTCTTGAATAAATTTTTTGATTTTGTTTTTATGATAATTAAATGGATTCAGTGGACCAAAAACTTTACAACAAAAAATTATACTTTGTTCTGGAATCCCTTTTGTCTTTTATTTTAAATTCTAGTTCTTCATTACATTGATTTGTATAAAAAATGTCAACTTATTTTTTCTAGTATCTCTTTTAAGCTTAATCAAAATGCAGAAAGTCATAATTACATTTGATATCCCTGAATGATAATTGCAAGATTTCCATTTCATATCAACCTCCTTTTTCTATTTATATATGTGAACAGAAGAGCAAATCATCATAAAATTGAGAAGTCATTTACACAATCTTTTTTGCTGTCTGCTTAAAATTTAGAATTTTGATTCATTACCCTAATGCTTTAAGTCAATTGAATACCAGTTTAAAACATACTGTTATTTTATACTATGTATTATAACTGCAGTTAAAAATTCTTGTAATAATTTATTTCAAGTTAGGAAAATGGAATTTAGAAGTTTTAGTGTTTGAGGCCTAGAGAACAGGCAATTTTCTTGAATAATTTGCAGACTTGACTTATATATTCTAGGTTCCTCACTTACAAATATTTAAAGATGTATAGTAATTATAGTTCAATTTGGTTTGCTTAAAAGCATTTTTGATTCAGCATACGACTCTCATGACTGTAGGAACATGACAATAGGTAGTCACGACTATACCACTTTAGTTTAGGGGTTAAATTATTATTTATCTACCATATATAAAATAATCCAATATCATCTGTTTCTATCTTATTTTTTTATAACTGTATTTAAAATTGGAATCAATTATTATTGTTGAAGATGTTTTTTTATTTAACAGCATACAGCATTTTAATATTAACAAAATATTTAATATGGAGCATAAAAGAGGATGCTCTAAGATAATTATCCCTACTGAAACTGTAAAATGGGTTATTCCCTCAAACTATAATGTTTATATAATGTATCATGCTGTGATATAAACCTTTTATAATAATGTTTTGCTCCTACACAGATTTCTAAACAGTATTATTGGACAGACTGCAGAGTGACTTGTATCAATATTTACTTTTAAATTGTGTGATCATATTTTACTTGTATGAATTGAATATTAAATAACATAAAACAAGCAAAAAATAATTAATTCAACTCCAAACAACTGCCACAATGTCCTATACTAATGAACATAATTATGCCTGAAATTCTTACTAACTTTGATTTATGTTTTTTTTTTTTTATATAATTATACTCATGAAAGCTAAAAAGAAAAAAAAATAACTAGTTTGAATCTTAAAGAAAAAATTTTTAGTATATATATTTATATTTTTAGGATCTGTTTTATATTGATAGTATGTACTGATAAAGGCCTATATAAAATGACTTTCTACATACAGGTGCTAACTGAGCTTCCTCTACATTGCTTTACTTTCCTTTTGATAGAAGTTGTTTATATATATTAAAAAGTCATTCGAGAAAAGGAAATAGAGGATTGCTGAACTAAAATCCATTCGTTTTACTCCGTTATATTGTCAAAATTCTTTCAGGTGTAATACCACCAAAATATAGTACATTCAGTTTCAAGCCAGAAATGGTTGATTTTTTTTTATATTCCATTTAATTTGACAGTTGTTGGAAATTAACCCTGCATTTCATTGCAGAAAGTTTTTTTTTGGGTCGTTAACATGTACATGTATCTTGGGTGTTTCAAAGCAATAAAAAATTCTATGAGTGTTGCTATAAAATATTTTGGAAATTTAAGGGGACATTGCTACTAAAGCTGGTAAACAGGAAAAAAAAAGGGGGGAGGAATTTGACTGGTTAACTTCTGGTGACGTTTAATGTCTTATCTGCAATGAAAAGTTATGTTGTATTTTCACTGTAGTACTGGACAGGATAAACTTCACTCATGTAGAGTATTTCTTTATTTAAAACATAGATAAATTCATCACATTTAATAAAAAAAAAGGCAAATTAAACAAAGACTTATGGGGGAAAAACAATTTTATGTTAAATTTTCCCTGCAGTAATTGACAGGATAAAACTTTACTCATGCCAAATATCTCTTTATTTAAAACAAAGATGAATTCTACACAATTAAAAAAAAAGTCAATTAAACAGAGACGTACTAGGGGAAAAACAATGGTGATATTACCCCCTAAAACCAGCCTTCCAATAATGAATTACAACTTTTCCTAAAGTAGCCATAATTTTTTATAAAAGAACTAAGTTTGCTATTTTATATATATAAAAAAAAAAACATATTACCATTGTTTAGTTAGGGGCATTACTTAAACAATTATTTTTCAAAATTACCTATGCAATTTATGTTAAAAACGATGCTATATCATATATTACTTCTATTTCATGTATAAGTAACTTATTTTAATATTATTTTTATATGTGTCCATTCATACAGGATTTAATAGCTTTAACAAATTTTCACAGACATCTGGTTATTTTTCCCATGAAATATAAAACTAATCCGCCTGAAACACTAATTGACTTTCTGAGCCACGCTTCTGGATCAAAGATTGTCCTCTTGGGACTGCAATGTATTAAAATACCATTTTCCTTTAAAATCTTAATGGTAGATGGAACCTTGTGATTTAATTAAGACTTGAAGTTATTTATAATGTGTAATCTAAAACAATAACATATGTTCCATAAATAATTATAAGTGCTAAGTTTTTCAAAGATGTATAAAATAATTTATAAAAGTAATAATTTTGTCCTCATTTTTAAAGTAACCTTTTATCTCTATACTCATCTCACATTTGATAAATAATTAATTTTATTTAATAAAATTATATAAAATTCTTAAAAACTACATTTAGTCCATGCTACTATTGACATTTAAAATAACTATTGAGTTATTAAATAATTTTTAAAAACGAAAAAATTATAAGTAACTAAAAAAAAAATTTACTTGTTTAGTATCGCCCCCTGACTGTTGTTTGTGCCTTGATGACTTTTATGTAGCATATTATATAGTATAAACTATATCTAAATTATATAATCTAATTATAAAATTTAAGAATTTTTTTTATTATTAAAAAAGAATGGTTATTCAATATAATAAGAAAATATTTTAATGACTTTTACTTTTTGTGGAGACGACATTTCTTTCCAAGCATTTCCCAGTACTGTTGAAGAATTTCTAATCTATTTTATAGTTTTGTAAATTTCATGCAAAATATATTTGAATATACCAGATGTTTACACAGGTGTTAATTGAGCTTCCTCTATAATGCTTTACTTTCCTTATTATAGAAGTGCTATAGATTTGATTGACATCTTAATAGATCATGATAATTATTGTCACATAAACTGCTGAGAAGAGCCTACTTAAAAAGCTCCGAGCATCCTCCGAGCATGCTCGGAGCTTCCTCGTAAGAATAAATCTATGATCCCTAAATACAGTACTGTTCAGACAATTCGCTTGCAGTCAATTAAAATAAAGATCGGTTCAGACTGTTCAGTAATTGTAATATACCTGTACACAACATACTTAAGTGTCTGAAAAGCTACTGTAAAAGTACTAAATTTACACTGATAACATATCTGAAAATCAACTTAAACTCTGAACAAGAATTGACTTAAACTCTGCACAAGAACTAACGTTTTTAGTTTCAGACTTTTGAAGTGATGTTAAGATCACAATGACCGTTTGATACCAAATTTCTTTAACGAATGCGTGGATAGGAAAACTTAAGTTGACCAATGAAACATGAAAATGAGTTCAATGTTAAATGAAGCCTTTCAGACATACATGCACACCTTACATTCTATACACAGAAAATGATGGACTGATTGCGTATTGAGTTTGATACACCGCAATGGTCAGGAAAACTATACGTTGACCAACTGAGGTCAAGGTAACACAATCTGTACAACCATTATATACACTGATTATAATTGACCCATCACAGGGACATACACATGGAATCTAAACGTTAATTACTAAACCGTGAAATTATGGTCAAGATCAAATAAACCCTTCTGGAACAGACAAACACCTTACAATTATTCCATACACCGAAATAATTGACCTATTGTTTATAGATAATATCTTTGAAAGTGACATACTCACGAATTAAACTTTAATTTGATTTTTGATTTTTGGTGTTTTAACGCCACTTTTAAGCACCGCTTTTGGGCTATTTCGTGGCGGCCATTTTTATTGGTGGAGGAAGCCGGAGTGCCCGGAGAAAACCACCGACCTTCGATAGGAAAACTGACAATCCTAGTCAATTAAGATTGGAGTCGAGTGCACCCGCACGAGCGGGGTTCGAACTCACAACCTCAGTGTTGACTGGCTAGAGATTAAAGTAGTAACTACTTAGACCACCCGGCCACCGAGGCCCCCGAATTCAACTTTACGTTGACCAATGGCCAAATAAAGTACGAAGTTGAAGAGCATTGAGGGCCCAAAATTCCGAAAGGTTTTCCGAAAACATACCTAATAAAGAGAATTGGAAAAATGGGATTTATCGCAGTGGGAAGCTGCTGTTTGCATAACGTCCTGCGACAAACGTTTCATGCATATGCATGATACCTATTTAGTTTGTATTGCCCACTCAGCTGTTTAAACAATGATAAACAGAAAGCAATTCAAATGACACAAGCAGTGGCATTTGATATAATAAATGTATTGAATAAACACAATAGGAATTCAGTCAAAATGTATTGATATAAATAAATATAATATATAGAATAAATACAATATGTATCCAGTCAAAATAAATCGATATAATAAATATAATATATAGATAAACACAATATGTAATCTGTCGGGATATATCAATATAAATGAATGAAGAATAAATAAAATGCATCACGAATAACAATATACTGAAACAGAATCAGATAATAATATGAACACCGACTTGTTTTAGATATTTCTCAAGGATTCAATTATTTTCAATTTGTATTATACAGATAATTAAATCATTCATTCTTCGTCAGAAAGAAACAAATAGATAAATCATTTTTTGGAAAAAAAATAATAAGCGAGGGTTAAGATGAAAAAACAGAAAAGCATATTACATCTATCAAAATTTAAAACTGAAATGCGTTTGCTCAAAAAATGCATGTAAAATGTATACTCTGCGTATATTTTGTCGTTGTTCTATCGTTTGCAATCCAACTCATTATGCAACTGAACTATTCTACTATATAAATTTTCTACATCAGATTCTACATAATTTCAGTTCAAAGAGAACATAATAATACCCCTATCAGTATATACCTGTCCATTCCATCATCAACATATATTCGTTTTCAAACGAAAATGACCTTTTTGTTTACATAGAAATACTACAAGGGTCACTAAAACGAGGCTTTTATATATTCTTTGATCGATTGATTGTTGGTTGTTTAAAGTTCGGTGGCAAATATTTCATGCTTGGTATCCTTTGATGAGAGAAGTCTGAATATCTTATCATAAAGAGCGTCGTCGTAGTTATACCTATTACTGAAACGATGCTCTGATCTTTCTGCCATTCAGTGGTTGTATGGGACGAAAATTGTCTACAAGTTTGCCTTCATAAGCATTTGTCACCTTAGTTTCTTGACTGTATGTGTTAAGTCGACGGAAATCCATAGCCTGAAAGCAAAACAAATAAAACCAAGTTTTATTTAAAAGAAATAACAGTTGTGACACAAAACCGCTCAGAAGGTAAAGAAAATATTTTTGTTGTGAGAGAAAAACTGATGTATCAATATTTGTAATGTCAACGAGTCCCTTGTTAGTACCGAATATCGAATACCAAAAAGATGCTCGACTAATCGGTTTCCTGTTAGAACATTGACTTCTTTAGATATAATTGATTATAATTGAGAGCACGTCTACGGAAATCAAATAGTTGATTAATAAAAATTAAATTACGATTCGAATGTTTTCGCTTAATTGTCATTTAAAATTCCTCCGACAAGAGGTGGGCAATGCACAAGAGCAGCTTTCTCAGGCTTACACTTTTGGCTAAATGTGTCTTAGCCATTCCACTATATCTGAATCGTTAAAGCAACTTTTCGTCGAGGGATGTTAGTACGAAACAAAGTTGAGAAACCGTCTCTGCCCAGAAAAAGTTTACAAGATAATATTTCTAATTATCAAGAACAAATTCGTTGCATCCTTGGAGATTTTTGGGTTTTACGTTCATTAGACAACTCATAATACGAAAATTGGGTAAAATACAAACTTCACTTACCTGTTCCTGTGATAATAGTAGTGGATAACGTAACAGGATCCATGTTACATTTTCACTACATGGTGGATGTGTTAGAGATCCATCATACACCCAGTAATCCTGTAACAACTCAGAAACTGCAAAACATATTTTAGTTATTACTACTTCAAACACTTTCCAAACGAGGTAATTGATGAATGAAGTTTTGATACACAAAGAAAAACTAATACATCCAAACTTCACGCCTTTCTGTTAAAAATTCAGTAAGTGATATTTAACTCTTTCATGAAGAAAAAGGATGTTAATTAGATATGTGGTTTTTGAAACGTTTTTAATAATCTAGTTATGAATAATATCTTTAGACGGCGAACAACTTTATCGGTAGACGGGAATTGTTAAATTACATGCAAGTACCGCAACACTTCGACAGATAAGATAAAGCTGCTTTTGCTGCTGCTGGTGGTGGTAGTAATGCTGCTGCTACTCTTGCTCCTGTTTGTAGTTGTATTTTTGATCATGGGAAGCATGATTGATGTTCATATGTCTTCAAAGATCATGCGGCCAAACATATACGCTACAGCAAAGGTTGCAAATATACATCTTCACTTTTTTGTATGCCAATCGAGGTTTGGAGTTTTCTCTTCTGGATTTACCATCTATTAAGAATATATTTGTTTACTTCAAGCAAATGTTTAGCAAGAAAAACACGTTGTCATCTTTCAGGCGATATATCTAAAGACCATCGATCATCAAGACAAATTTGATTTGATACAGTTCGTTCCTGTTTACCGTGGAATAGTTTGGTTTATCAAACGTGACGTCCGTAATATCTTCTTTTAATATCGACCGACTGGAGAATTGGGAGACATACACATAACATACGACTGGTCCAAGAAACTAAAACAGAGGTGAAAAGTAAAATAACAAAAATACCGAACTCCGAGGAAAATTCTAAACGGAAATTCCCTAAGCAAATGGCAAAATCAAAAGCTGGGCCACATTAAACGAATGGCTAACAACTGTCATATTCCTGACTTGGTACAGGCATTTTCTTATGTAGATATATATCAATAAATATCAATGCGTCTCATTGATTCTTTCAATTCCTGAACGAACAACAAAAACAACAAATAAACTGTTATCACAGAGATATGTCTCGCTTTTTTGGTTATTTCGATAATGCAAATGTTGAAATTAAAATAGCAACACTTTTACATGTAAGTTTTGTAAATATTCAAAGTCAATTAGGCATGACTGAAGGTACATGGCTAAACAATTTCCATTGAAATGAGATGTGCCAATGTTAATACAACTGCATACCAAACACCACTAATACATGTAAACTAAGCAAAATTTCAAATTCGATAAACCATAACTGAGGGGGCGGGGTCAAATATTCTCCATTGTAATGAGATGTACCAATGCTAATACAACTGCATACCAAATATCATTGACCTGCCACTAGTGGTTCCCCATTGACCGACCTAATCACAAACTAATACATGAAAACTTAGCAAAAGTTTCAAAGTCAATAGACCATGACTGAGGGGGCGGGGCCAAATAATCGCCATGGAAATGAGATATGCCAATGCTTATACAACTGCATACTAATTATCATTAACTTACCACTAGTGGTTCCCCATAAACTGACCTAATAACAAACTAATACATGAAAACTAAGCAAACATTTCGAAGTCAATAGACCATGACTGAGGGGGCGGTGCCAAATAATCTCAATGGAAATGAGATATGCCAATGCTTATACAACTGCATACCAATTATCATTAACTTACCACTAGTGGTTCCCCATTAACTGACCTAATCACAAACTAATACATGAAAACTAAGCAAAAATTTCAAAGTCAATAGACCATAACTGAGGGGGCGGGGCCAAATAATCTCCATGGTAATGAGATGTGCCAATACTAATACAACTGCATACCAAATATCTTTAACTTACCACTAGTGGTTCACCATCAACTAGACCTAATCACAAACTAATACATTGTTGACGCCGACGCCGGAAACAGCATACCTATGTCTCGCTTTTTGACTCCGTCAAGCGAGACAAATACGAACCAAAAATATTGCGGAAAATATAATTCAATATTGATAGAGACATTGAGAGACACAAGCACTGAATTACGGTTTCACACTTTACTATTTGAATAACATTAAACATTTTGCTGACTTAAATGCAATTGTTTTTTTTTTATAATTCTTTAAAGGATAATTTGTACTTTAAATGTTACTAATTTTATTAATATAAATTATCTAGATACAATTTGTATTAGTTATGGATGTCAGACATTTTACAATCTCCGCTTGGTCACTTGATTGAACAACTAGATAACTTTTAAAATGATCGATGATAAAAATCGCACACGACTTATCTTTTATTTAATTCATATGTAACCCGGAGAAATATTTGATAAACTACACTAATATCTTATCAGAAAATGAAATCAATAGTCTGGTTAATTCAGCACTACCTATTGATATATTACATCCCCTTGGCACTCTTAACAGTTTAACACATTTTAATTTCAGTAAACCATTCCTCTAATCTCCATACAATGATTTACAAATAAAGATTATTTATGTCTGGTTATTAATTTACATTTTATATTTGCTTTCCGTTTTACTTCCGTCTATACACCTACAAAGAAGAACTTATATAATCTGTCGAAGAATTTGGGTATTTGAATGTAATTCAACAAAATGTACCTTCTACTAGTTCTACGTATTAAGTTGTTCGCCGTCTAAGATTGTTATTCATAACTAAATTATTAAACGATTCAATAATAAATTGATGGATCGATTGGTGTTTAACGCCACTTTCAGCATTATTTTGCTAATTCGTGGCGGTCAGTTTTTACGGGTGGAGGAAGCGAGGTGCCCGGAGAGAACCACCGACTTTCGGTTGGAACACTGACAATCCTAGTCAATTAAGATTGGAGTCGAACTCACAACCTCAGTGTTGACAGGCTAGTGATACAGTAGTTCGATTACTCCAACCACCCGGTCACTTGGGGCCCTGATTCACAAATAAATATTACTCAATAATAAATATTTCTCCATAATAAATATTACTCCTTCATTGTTTTAACTAAAGTATGTGTCCTTTATATAGAATGATATAACTACTCACGTATTTCACATTATATACTTCATTGACGTATACCCGACAGTTTTTTTCATTTCTGTACATGATCTACTCACAAGGATGTATAGTATATAAAATCATAGGAGCAATACACTGTAAACATGTCAATATTATTATTTTTAGAACGGCGCCTAAAATTGGTTTCGGTATCTTACAATTTTTCTATTTCTAAAACTGGACCGATGCCATAGCTAATGATTTGCAAAGTATCAAAGGTATGGTAGCATATTCCTTTGTATTGTCATGACATTACATTTCTCTTGTATCTTAACTCAAAAGTAAATAAATAAAAAAATGTTAAAATTGTATCCCTGAAGATATTTAGGAGCAATGCAATTGATGTTGGACTGTAAGAGCCCGGTGGTATACTGAAGCAACGTTTCTGCTCGTGGACTGCAAGTTGCCAGGGGTATTTTGTTATACTTTAAAAACAAGTAAGCAATACATTGTATATATCTCTGTCATGAAAACCTCGTGATTTTATACACTAACCTCTGCTGTCTATTATGTATATTTTGTATGAATTGACCTCTGGTACACGTCTGTGTCTGAGGAAAAAATTCAGTTTTTGTTGTTGGAACCATGCTACTGCTGGTGGGCTACAAGAACACAAGAGAATCGTCGAGCAATTCTATTGTTGATGGACTGTAAGGCCCATAGGGTAACCTGGACCACTGCAGTAGTAGTTGGACTGCAAGAGCCAAGATCCAAATGGTATTGGAGCAATGTCACTGGTTGTGAACTGCATGACCCCCAAGTATTCTGCAAAACATTCATTGTTAATGGACGAGATGACCCCGTAAGTATCCTGGAGCACTGTCATTACTGGTGGACTGGAAGACCCCAGGGGTATTATGGAGCAACATAACTACAAGTTGACTGCAAGATCCTAATAATATTCTGGAGCAATGCGATTACAAGTGGATTGTAGGATCCCAAGTGTATTCTGCAGCAATGTCTCTGCTTCTGGACTACAAGACTCAAAATGATTTTCTATAGCATGCCATGACCCAAACAGTATTCTGCAGCTCTTTCATTGATGATTGAGTGCAAGACCCGAAAGATACTCTAATGCAATACCATTGCTGATGGACTGCAAAACCCCAGAGTTATTCTTGAGCACTGCCATTTTGTAGTCTGCAAGAACCCAAGGGTATCATGAAGCAATGTGACTACTTGGACAGTAATATCTCAATAGTGTTCAGGAGCAATGCAATGGGTATTAATGGAGGAATGCTACTGCTGATAAACTTACTGACCTCAATGGAATATTGAAGCCATGTTATTTTTGGAAGACTGCACGATCCCAAGGGTATTCCGAAGCAATGCTATGACAGGTGTTTTGTAAGATTCCAAGGGTGTTTCTGAGACAATGTAAAAGAGAGATGAAAGATACCAAAGGGACATTCAAACTCATAAGACACAAAATCAGTACACAAAATATAAAATATAAAACATACAAGAGTGCACACGCTGAAATGTCTCGCCTTCTTTACTAATCATTGATATTATGTTGATAGTCCTAAATATAAAGCTTTATTACAACTGTCACATAAACTTAACATTAACCAAGTAAACTAAACATTGACCAATGAACCATGAAAATGAGGTCAAGGTCAGATGAACCATGCTAGGCAGGCATGTACAGCTAACAATTCTTCCATACAACAAATATAGTTGACCTATTGCTTATAGTTTAAGAAAAAACAGACCAAAACACAACAAGAGTGCACACGCTGAAATGTCTCGCCTTCTTTACTAATCATTGATATTATGTTGATAGTCCTAAATATAAAGCTTTATTACAACTGCCACATAAACTTAACATTAACCAAGTAAACTAACATTGAACAATGAACCATGAAAATGAGGTCAAGGTCAGATAAACCATGCTAGGCAGGCATGTACAGCTAACAAATCTTCCATACAACAAATATAGTTGACCTATTGCTTATAGATTAAGAAAAACAGACCAAAACACAAAAAATTAACACTGAGCAATGAACCTTCAAAATGAGGTCAAGGTCAAATAAAATCTGCGTGACTGACATATAGATCATAAAATATTTCCATACACCAAATATAGTTGAACTATTGCATATATAGTATTAGAAAAAAAAGACCAAAACTCAAAAACTTAACGTTGACCACTGAACCATGAAAATGAGGTCAAGGTCAGATTACACCTGCCAGCTAGACATGTACACTTACAATCATTCCATACACCAAATATAGTAGACCTATTGCATACATTATAAGAAAAACAGACCAAAACACAAAAACTTAACTATAACCACTGAACCATGAAAATGAGGTCAAGGTCAGATGACACCTGCCAGTTGGACATGTACACCTTACAATCATTCCATACACCAAATATAGTAGACCTATTGCATACAGTATAAGAAAAACAGACCAAAACACAAAAACTTAACTATAACCACTGAACCATGAAAATGAGGTCAAGGTCAGATGACACCTGCCAGTTGGACATGTACACCTTACAGTCCTTCCATACACCGAATATACTAGACCTATTGCTTATAGTATCTGAGATATGGACTTGACCACCAAAACTTAACCTTGTTCACTGATCCATGAAATGAGGTCGAGGTCAAGTGAAAACTGTCTGACGGGTATGAGGACCTTGCAAGGTACGCACATACTAAATATAGTTATCCTATTACTTATAATAAGAGAGAATTTAACATTACAAAAAATCTTAACTTTTTTCAAGTAGTCACTGAACCATGAAAATGAGGTCAAGGACATTGGACAAGTGACTGACGGAAACTTCGTAACATGAGGCATCCATATACAAAGTATGAAGCATCCAGATCTTCTACCTTCTAAAATATAAAGCTTTTAAGAAGTTAGCTAACGCCACCGCCGCCGGATCACTATCCCTATGTCGAGCTTTCTGCGACAAAAGTCGCAGGCTCGACAAAAACTTAATACTGAGCAATGAACCTTGAAAATGAGGTCAAGGTAAAAAAAAAAAACCTGCGTGACTGACAAATAGATCATAAAATATTTCCATACATCAAATATAGGTGAACTATTGCATATAGTATAAGAAAAAAAGACTAAAACTCAAAAACTTAACTTTGACCACTGAACCATGAAAATGAGGTCAAGGTCAGATCACACCTGCCAGCTAGACATGTACACCTTACAATCATTCCATACATCAAATATAGTAGACCTATTGCATACAGTATAAGAAAAACAGACCAAAACACAAAAACTTAACTATAACCACTGAACCATGAAAATGAGGTCAAGGTCAGATGACGACACCTGCCAGTTGGACATGTACACCTTACAGTCCTTCCATACACCGAATATACTAGACCTATTGCTTATAGTATCTGATATATGGACTTGACCACCAAAACTTAACCTTGTTCACTGATCCATGAAATGAGGTCGAGGTCAAGTGAAAACTGTCTGACGGGCATGAGGACCTTGCAAGGTACGCACATACTAAATATAGTTATCCTATTACTTATAATAAGAGAATTTAACATTACATAAAATCTTAACTTTTTTTTCAAGTAGTCACTGAACCATGAAAATGAGGTCAAGGACATTGGACATGTGACTGACAGAAACTTCGTAACATGAGGCATCCATATACAAAGTATGAAGCATCCAGACCTTCCACCTTCTAAAATATAAAGCTTTTACGAAGTGAGCTAACGCCGCCGCCGCCGGATCACTATCTCTATGTCAAGCTTTCTGCGACAAAAGTCGCAGGCTCGACAAAAACTAAAGCCTGGGCAACACGACCCCCACCAAAAATCGGGGGTGATCTCGGGTGCTCCGGAAGGGTAAGCAGATCCTGCTCCACATGTGGCACCCGTCGTGTTGCTCGTGTAAGTACAAACCCGTTGATAAGTCTAATTTGGAAGGTAACATTTGGGGTAAAGAACATCAACCCTTTATCAAGGAAATCATAATAGGAAATACAAGCCCTGGAATATCGTATCAACTGCTGCTGGAATGTTGCTACATAGAAATGGAAAAATCACAATTGGGAAGCTGAAATCATCTCTTTTGTCGTAAACTTTTGTTTTGAACCGACCCTCATTGTGAATTTTTAGATGTATTTCAAGATATGAGGCAGACTTTACTGTATCTGCTGTATCCTTTATCTCAAGATCGATGGGATAGATGGGTTCCACATTGTCACCAAACTTTCGAAATATTTAGTGAGAGGACATCATCTATATAGCAGAAAATGAAGTTCAAGGATAATGCTAACTTCTTTTCTTCATAAGAAGCTCCTGTATGAAGTCAGCCCCATATGAATAAAGGTACAAGTCGGCAAGAAGAGAAACACATTTGGTTGCCATGGGCATGCCGATTGTTTGTTGAACAAGAGTGCACACGCTGAAATGTCTCGCCTTCTTTACTAATCATTGATATTATGTTGATAGTCCTAAATATAAAGCTTAGCTTTATTACAACTGTCACATAAACTTAACATTAACTAAGTAAACTAAACATTGACCAATGAGCCATGAAAATGAGGTCAAGGTCAGATGAACCATGCTAGGCAGGCATGTACAGCTAACAATTCTTCCATACAACAAATATAGTTGACCTATTGCTTATAGTTTAAGAAAAACAGACCAAAACACAAAAACTTAACACTGAGCAATGAACCTTGAAAATGAGGTCAAGGTCAAATAAAACCTGTGTGACTGACATATAGATCATAAAATATTTCCATACACCAAATATAGTTGATCTATTGCATATAGTATTAGAAAAAAAGACCAAAACTCAAAAACTTAACTATAACCACTGAACCATGAAAATGAGGTCAAGGTCAGATGACACTTGCCAGCTAGACATGTTCACCTTACAATCATTCCATACACCAAATATAGTAGACCTATTGCATACAGTATAAGAAAAACAGACCAAAACACAAAAACTTAACTATAACCACTGAACCATGAAAATGAGGTCAAGGTCAGATGACACCTGCCAGTTGGACATGGACACCTTACAGTCCTTCCATACACCGAATATACTAGACCTATTGCTTATAGTATCTGAGATATGGACTTGACCACCAAAACTTAACCTTGTTCACTGATCCATGAAATGAGGTCGAGGTCAAGTGAAAACTGTCTGACGGGCATGAGGACCTTGCAAGGTACGCACATACCAAATATAGTTATCCTATTACTTATAATCAGAGAGAATTTAACATTACAAAAAATCTTAACTTTTTTTACAAGTAGTCACTGAACCATGAAAATGAGGTCAAGGACATTGGACATGTGACTGACGGAAACTTCGTAACATGAGGCATCCATATACAAAGTATGAAGCATCCAGGTCTTCCACCTTCTAAAATATAAAGCTTTTAAGAAGTTAGCTAACGCCGCCGCCGCCGCCGGATCACTATCCCTATGTCGAGCTTTCTGCGACAAAAGTCGCAGGCTCGACAAAAACACGTCCTCCAAAAGAAACAAATATGTTGTCATCAGAGAATTTTAGTTTGAATCATAGCGATTTTTACAAGGTGTGATTTATCCCTCACTGAGATAAGATACTGGTTTCTACGTTGGTCATTCTTTTTTATCAAACAAAGCAGGACAAACTCTTTCAATTTGTCTTTTAGTTTGGAATAGGGAATACTTCTGTAAAGTGTAGAAAAATCAAATGTTTTAATACTATTAAAAGATAAAAGAGTTTTAGATTGTATGTACTCTAAAAGATCTTTTTTTAGTTCGCCACTTCTATAATAGGTAGTTTCACAATAACTTTGAAGCCCGATTGCTTATAAAATTGATGTTAATAATTTAGAAAGAGGTTTCGTGGAGCACTTGGAGGACTCATCAATATAACTTGTTTGTAAGGACACTTGTGTAATGTAGGTCTCCAATAGAGGTGAAGGAACATCCAGTTCTTCATCTTTAGTTGATATTCTAAAGGAACATAGAACAGAATTACGATTATTCAGGATTTCCTCATGGGGGTATATTTGAGTTTCCAAGTAAATTGTCAATACCTAATTCATTTATCAAGCAGTTTATGTAATGTGATTTACACACAAAAACGCTGTTGTTTGTGGCTTTATCTGCGGGGACAACGACATATTTGTCATAGAGGAAAGACAGGTGTTTTACAACATTTGGGTCTTTAAAGACTGATGAAGCATGTGTATTCATAAACCCATTCAGTTTTTTGTTATTCTGTATAAACGACCTTACAGCCTTAATCCATTCGGAAAGAGTATCTTCGTCTTCTTTCTCGCGTTTAATACATTGCCTGGCATATTTTTCGTTGTGTTTCCAATTGATGAGTTCAGGCTCACGATATTTCGGACCTTTGGATAAAACATTTCGCAGAGAAGTGTTATTGGGAATGTTTAGGTCACAAGCAATTACGTGGCCGGGTCGGATTATATATGAATGGGGAACTAGCACAGGTGCAATCAGGAGGTTTAGACTTGAAGTCGTCAATATTGAGATCTTGCAACACGTGTTTGCAATTGAAAATTTTATTGAAATTGAAATTGAAAATTTAATTGCTGGGTGATTCAAGAACCCAAGGGTATTTTGGAGAAGTGTCACTACTGGTGGACTGGAACATCAAATGGGAATCTGGAATAATAGCACTGCTGGTGGACTGCAACATCAAATGGGATTCTGGAATAATAGCACTGCTGGTGGACTGCAACATCAAATGGGATTCTGGAATAATAGCACAGCTGGTGGACTTCAACATCAAATGGGATTCTGGAATAATAGCACTGCTGGTGGACTGCAGCATCAAATAGGATTCTGGAATAATAGCACTGCTGGTAGACTGCAACTTCAAATGGGATTCTGGAATAATAGCACTGCTGGTGGACTGCAACATCAAATGGGATTCTTGAAAAATAGCACTGATGGTGGACTGCATCTTCAAATGGGATTCTGGAATAATAGCACTGCTGGTGGTCTGCAAGGTCACAAGGACACTCTGGAGCACTGCCATTGCTGGTGGTCTGAAAGCCCAAATAGTGTTCATGGGAGCAATGTCACTGCTGGAAGCCCATAAGGGTTTTCTTCAGTAATATCACTGATTCTTGACTGCAGAACCCCGAGAGTATTATTAAGTAATGCCACTGATGATGTCTTCAAGATCCAAACGGTATACATGTCTGGTATTGGTCAATGTCACTGTTGCTTAAACTGCAAGACTGTATAGTATTCCAATGCCATTCATACTTAAGAACATTTCATATTCTAAGGCTCCTACCGAGGCACAAAAGGTAGTTAGATATAAAGGGATAATTAAAATTCATAAGCCGAAAAAAAGAAAATATACAACACCATGGCCAAATGAAATGACAAAATGACAACAGTCCACAACACAGAAAACTAAAACAGAGCAACTAAATAATGAATAAATAAAAAAGAATATATACCGATATACTTTGCCTGAAATATAACATATCCATTTATTACCTACCTGGTAATAATGAGGCTGGATTGAAAGGCGCATACGTTGTCTTTTGTCTCCCCTGAAAATTTTATTAAATTTATATATTTTGTGTAGTGGCATACTTTATCATAATTCTTTAAAATTAAATCCAATTAGAGAAAAATCTAATCAGATAGGAAGCAAAAATAACGATATTTAAAAAAAACCAAGATGAACAGCAAGCGCAAAGGTCTTGTATCAATGGTTATCGTTTGAAAGCGAATTACATTCCTGAAATTGCTTAAATCCGCTTCATTCGGACTCTGTTAGATAGTTGTCTATCACTGGAAGTCTTACTACATCTCCTTATTTTATATTCATTTAAAATTCAACATGAATATAAGTCTGTGGTGGGAAACTATTGAATTAAACTTGCATTGCAATAAGTTTCAGTTTTACACCATTAAAACAAGTCTTTTCAACTGATTTTCATAGTTTGTTCTTATGTTGAACTGTTACACCACTGTACCAAATTAGGAGAGGGTTGGCACCTTCAAACTAGTTTAATCCCGCAGCATTCTGTATATGCCTGTCCCAAGTGTCAGGAGCCTGTAATTCATTGGTTGTCGTTTGTTGCTGAATATCATATTTTTTTTGTTCATTATTTTGCACTTAAATCAGGCCGTTAGTTTCCTCGTTTAAATTGTTTTACATTTGTCATTTCGGGGCCTTTTATAGCTAACTATGCGGTTTGGGTTTTGCTCATTGTTGAAGGCTGTATGGTGACCTATAGTTGTTAACTTCTATGTTATTTGGTCTCTGGTGGAGAGTTGTCTCATTAACAATTATTTCACCTGTCTTATTTGAAGTAGATTGCAATGAGTGGTTAACTTTTTACTATAAAACTGTCAGGGGCAAAGGTAGTGTGTAACCAGTATAAAAAAAATGTCTGGCTTATTTCGGTATCATAAATTTCTCATGGTCAGACTAATCGGTACACCACACTGTACAATGTAGTTTTAAATCAAATTCGCATAATCTGTCAGTTGCAGTATAGTAGCCGATAATCTAATAAATATACAATGTGAAATGAATAATTTGGTCGCAGAAATAGGGTCAGTCATTAGTATTTGACAGTTTTCCTAGGTGAAAACGGTCGCCAAGATATTCATAAGTCGGACATGTCTTGTTGACTATTCTTCTAAAATAACAATGGTAAAAGAACAGAACAAAAATTTTTTTTGAAACTACAAAAAAAAAGTCATGTTTTAATACGGAGAATGCACAAACCCTTTTTACTGTCGTCAGGTCTAATGGGCTTTACATATACCAATTGTTTAAACTAAAACTGAAAGAAACAAATGATCACCTTGTACAGTATATCATCTAAGGAATCAGCAATAAGAGCTCTAAATGCAGGATTTTCTCGGCCAATCTGAAAAAGTTTACATGAGAATAAACATAAGTACTAAGTTTCAAGTTGAAGGACAATAACGTCTTTGTAAACTACCTTAAAACAAAACTTAAACCCGATACAACGGACAGACGTACAGACCGGAGAACATAATGCGCCCTAATATCGTAAATAAACTTGAAATACTAAGTAGCGAAAAAAATAAAATAAAAGAGGCAATGAAGTTATTATTTCCCACTGAATTTAAGAGCAAGGAAGTACGAATTCCTGGTCAAAAAAGAATCAATTGTGTTCAAAAAGCACAAAATTGAATATTTGAACTGTCGTTCACGTCCTACTAAACAAATACGTTATCAGTGAGTATAAAAGTCTAATTTGAAACAGAATTGTTGATCAGCAGTTAAGTTAACATTTGCTTCCTTCCATGTGAATTAAGCGTAAAATCTTGTAGGAATGAAAATATGATATAAATTTTAAAGATGACGATAAACTTGCTATTGTTTAATTGAACAAGAGTGCACACGCTGAAATGTCTCGCCCGTTTTACTTATCATTGAATTTATGCTGAAAGTCTGCAATATGAAGGTTTTACTACAAATATCACATAAACTTAACATTGACCAATGAACCATGAAAATGAGGTCAAGGTCATATAAACCCTGCCAGACAGACATGTACACCTTACAATCATTCCATACACCAAATATAGTTGACCTGTTGCCTATAGTATCTGATAAACTGACAAAATCACAAAATTTATAATTGACCAATGAATCATGAATATGATATCAAGGTCATATGAACCCTGCCAGACAGACATGTACACCTCACAATTATTCCATACACTAAATATAATTGACCTATTGCTTATCATATCTGCAAAATAGACAAACCACATAAACTAAAAATTGTTCAATGACCCATGTAAATGAGGTCGAGGTCAAATGAAACCTGATAGTCAGCAATGTACACCTAACAATCATTCCAGACACCAAATACAGTCGCCCTATTGCTTATAGTATCTGAGAAATAGACCAAACCACAGAAACTAAGCATTCTTCAATGAACCATGAAATTGGATCAAGGTCAGATGAAATCTGTCAGTCGGACATGTACCCCTTACAATCATTCCATACACCAAATATAGTTGACCTATTGTGTACAGTATCTGAGATATGGACTTGACCATGTAACTTTAACCTTGGTTGCTGATCCATGGAATAAAGTGGAGGTCAGGTGAACCCTACCTGACAGACATGTAGACGGAACCCACATATCCAAATACAGTTATCCTATTACTCATAAGTGAGTGTTTTACTCAACAAAAAAACTGTTTTTTTCAAGCAGTCACTGAACCATGAAAATGAGGTCAAGGACAATGGACATATGACAGACGGAAATTTCGGACATAAGGTATCTGTATACAAGGTATGAAGCATCCAGGTCTTCTATCTTCTGAAATATAAAGATTTAAACAAATAGTTTACGCCGTCGCCGCCGCCGGATTGTAATACCTATGTCTCGCATACTGCGACTTTCATCGCAGGCGAGACAAAAAAGGGGCATTCTTTACGAGAAAGACTATAGTTCCAATGTTCTTAATGTTTATTGTTGCAACAAGACAAACATAATTAAATACGATCATAATTATGATCTAACCTGCACAAACAAACAAATCGCTGCAATTCCATTCTCTTTCCCGGTTGCTTCCTCTAAATTTTGATAAAGTGTTGAATTCCAATGAATAAACTGCAGCTGTTAAGACAAAGACAAATATCGTTAAATTTTCAAATATCACAAAAATAGTTTATATAGCTCTAAGATATGACGTACTAAATTGAGATTAGATATATACGACGAAATAAAATCTGTTAGAAATGATTGCAGTTACTGGCATACTTTTTAGAGAACATTTATAATCTGTATGCAATAAGTTGTTATACGGACCTCCATAGGAAAAGCCTTTCCATTAACTGTATGTTCCGATCCTCTTCCGCTACATCGTCCCCAGTGGAATCTGATCTCGGCTAACTCGTATTCATCATCGGCCAAGGGTCCTCCAGTTATTACTGTCGAGAAAACATTTTAAATTATTGGTAAATAATGAATTATAATACATCTCACAAGATTATGCAAAGTGTGTCGACCGGGATGAACGGTGGGGACTTCCATTACCCCTGGAAAATGAAGGCATGGTGGATAAGAGCAGATATTTTGACTTGCAATAGGCCACCTTCAAACCCCTTAAAGAGTTGTTGCACTGCTTTTTTTAACACCCAGGGAGCTTGACACTCTCCATACAAGAGGTATATTAGTTGACGACCCAAACTTCGACCAGAAGGGGCTGCGTATTTATACATCCTACAAAACACATATCATTCTTTAGGATGGGGTTTACTGCCGGAAGACACGCATGGCCGTAGTTAACACATGAGGTCATCTAATGACTTTGCATATTTTCTGATTATTTACATACTTCGCAAAACAAGAAACGCCCATTTTTTAAGACCCGGTTCTCTGTTGCCACCGAGGCCCCTTTCCTCCTACATTAGTATGAGTTTTACTCATTGTTGGCCTTACAGTAACCTGTAATTGTTAACATCGGTGTCCTTTGGTCTTAGATGGATAGTTGTGAATTTTCTCATTGGCACTTAATCCAACATCTTTTTATTTTATATAGAAGATAAAATAATAATCTTTGTTCTTTCTGAGGACTTCAGCATGTTATGATAACAATAGATTTTTTTTTAAATTTCATTTTGTTTTAAAACAATTTTGAGATATGAAAAAAATGATATTTCACATCTTTCTTCAAATACATAGAAATTGGCTACTTGCTTTTTAAAAACGTTGTACCAAATTCCTGACAAATCCTATGGTTAGATACAATTTGATTTTTAATTACAAATTGCGGCGGTTTAATTACTAGTACGTCAATTTTCTTCTGCGGTGTCATTTCATCATTCCGCATGATAAAGTATGAATTATGTGTCGAGTAACCGTTAGCATAAGATCGATTATATACTAGTATTATTTTATTTCTGGTTGTAAGTGCTATTTTGTCACGTGAACTAAATGATAATACATCTTTGAAAAAAAAAATAACTTACCTGAGCGAACAGCCTGTTCTTGTCTAACGGACGTATCTATAACAATAATATCTATTCATTAATTAATTATATCTGGAAACAATAGATGAAAGATGTATCACTCCCTGATCATATATAATATTCCAATTATATTCTCATTTTATCTTCTCATGTAAATACTTGCTCCTTAAATGCAACAGTACTTAGTGAAAATTAAAGGATTGTCCATGCAGTCTGTCTAACGTTTACTACTCTCTCAAGTCTAATTTTTGTTGTCACTCGTGATTAATTTATGATTGTTTCTTTCTCAACGACCAGTGGCAAATATTTCATGCATATTCAGGACGAGAAATTATTAACAATTAATACAATAGGTAGGCTGCAGAGACGGCAGAAATGAAAGTCGTGGAACTGCCACGGAAAAATAATAGTATACTGGATAGACGCAGAAACTTAGGGTAAATTTCCCTTTGTACGAAAATACAATGCATGGAGAGATTAAATAATTAAGCTGAAAACAAATTAGTGTTAGATACTATATATATCTAGTTACGTATGCATGGTAAAATGCGCTCGTCTCTTGCTTGACGAAAGGCAGCAAAGTATTTTGTTTGTATCTTACTGGAATGATTCTACTGCCAATATACTTTAGAACTGAAGCGATCGATAGTGAACGGAAACAATGATAGGATTGTTCGGGTTACATATTGTGATTTGATTTGTGTTGATTGTTATATTAGTATATGATTCATAACTTGTAATTATGAGAGTATAAATGAAAGAATCAATTACCAAACATTATTGTATTGGCATAACGTACGATGTAAACTGTAAATGTATATCAATTTTGTTTGAATTTTTTAGTCAGTTGTGTTGTATGTCTGCATGTGATGTATTTTAACACAGTTTTGGCTGCTTGGTCCAAATTATTGTCACATTAATCTATTATGTCTGTTTAGGTTGCTCATTGAATTTAGTCAATAAGACGTACGGAACTATAAACAATTGTCATACAAGTGGGAGGTTTAGATAGCCATAAAAACCAGGTTAAACCCACCATTTTCTTCGGAGAATGTCTGTACTAAATCAGGAATATGGCAATTGTTTTTTCACTTGTTCCGTTGATTGATAGCGTTTGCTTTTGACAGTTTTTATAAATGAACTTCCCCTTTTTGAATTTGCCTTAAAGTTCGGTATTCTTGTTATATTTTTTCACCAGCATTCCACACATCATGTCATATTTGTTATTTCTTAATTATTTTCTTCATATAATACCGGTAATAAGATTTTGATAAACATAAACATGTAGAGTATTTAGAGAGTTTGACTCTAGTCGGATATGACCTCAGGCGGTACATTGATAGTAAATCAGCAAATAGTAAATGAGAAATAAGAAATAGCAAAATAAGTAAAAAGAAAAAGAAAAAATCGCCGCTGAGGTCAAATGTTATAGGACTTTCCACAAAGTAAACAACTCATATTTCTACATCTCCGCTTTAAAACAATTTTTTTTTGCTGTGAATTCCAGGCAAGTCAAAAAATGAAAACAATACGTTATAAATTTCATGCGTCCGAAGCGATTTTCTGGATTTACCTTCAAATTTCATGTTCAATACACCGTTTTATTTGTGAGAAGTTTTTTTTTCCAATTGTATACATTGTATATACCTTTAGGGTACACGTTATCTGCAACACACACGATTTCTCAATAGATATTCATTTGGTATGTTTTAAGACCGCCTACAAAATACACAACTGACAGCTGCTTTGAAATGGAGAATGTTTATCTTGTGGACAGAATGAGGGAGTGTGTCTTTACCTTCACATGAAACGTGTGCCTGTTTGTGGTACTGCAAATCCCAGTAAAGGCTAGCGATTATTCTAATGATTCTTGTGTGAAATATATTAAGGAGAAATGGCCCCTTTTCATTTAATGGATATAAATCCACTTTATTCTAACTCTGGTGGACAGTTGTTTCATTGTTCTTCTTTTTATATAGAACACCACCAGGTAATAGCTCTTCTTTGTTTTTATGCTCTCAAATAACAATTATAATCCTAATCATTATCTGCACTAAAGAGCCAGCACGGCTGAAAACTTTGAAATGCTGGACAACATCCTCAGAAACCTCAAGTTCATAAGCATTTGCAGTCAAATCTGCTAAAGGTCATCCCTATTAAGTGAAAAGCTGTATAATACAGTCAAACCTGCTGTAAAGGTCATCCCTATTAAAATTAAGTGAAAACCTGTCTAATACAGTCAAACCTGCTGTAAAGGTCATCCCTATTAAGCGAAAACCTGTCTAATACAGTCAAACCTGTTGTAAAAGTCATCCCTATTAAGTGAAAACCTGTCTAATACAGTCAAACCTGCTGTAAAGGTCATCCCTATTAAGCGAAAACCTGTCTAATACAGTCAAACCTGCTGTAAAAGTCATCCCTATTAAGCGAAACCCTGTCTAATACAGTCAAACCTGCTGTAAAAGTCATCCCTATTAAGTGAAAACCTGTCTAATACAGTCAAACCTGCTGTAAAGGTCATCCCTATTAAGCGAAAACCTGACTATTACAGTCAAACCTGCTGTAAAGGCCATCCCTATTAAGCAATCTACAAGTTTATTAATACACTCAGGCACCATTGTGTGCAACAAGAGCAACATAATATACATGTAGTATACAAAATAATAAATTGGTCAATTAATATTACAAATAAAAAACATCGCAACCCTTTTATCACTACGGGTGAAAAAGAGGTTTTCAGTATTTGTGAAATAAGTTCAGGATAGTACTAGCGTAGAATAAAATTTTATAGATAGATTATTAATAGAGTTCATGCACTTCGCATTGATTTTATGTTGACCAGGCTTTACGAATCAGGTTCGTCAGAATTGATTCTGTTCCGCTTCAGAATTTTCCGTTGTTTTGGTATCGGACGATTCCATGGGTAAAAATCACTGGGTCGGGTTGAATTAATGAATGGACTTTTATCAGATAAATTATCTGCTTCAAGATTTTAAGCAAAAACCAGTCCTGTCTTGTCATGTCACCTACTTCTTGTACCGCTGTAGAAATACATATGTATTATTGTGCTTACATCCCAACTCCTTTGTTCTAATAGGGATGATCTGAGTCGGATCACCCCTTCCAGATCATCCTACCTTGAGTTTCTTTGTTCTGCATGATTTATGTAACATTTTGGCGGGAATGTCGAACACACTATAAAACTTAGATATATTTATGCGGAATATAGACTAACTTTCAAAATTTATGTAGAAAAAAATCCACTAAATTTCCAGTGTCTATGCCGGGAATGGAACTCAAGACCTTAAGCATATGAAACCACGATTCATACCCTTACACCAGGAAGACTGGATACAAACTTATTGTTAATTTAATATATTTAAACATTGTATCCGGGGCTCATAAAGGGTATATACTATATAGTAATATTTAAAGTATTATAATTATTGTATGGCATTCTTAACTAGATGTTATGAAGCGTAAATATTTTTTTATACAGTCTAGAAGAGCTGGGATGTAAAATAGTTATCCCACTCGGTCCGGCCGTCGGGATGATCTTACACTGACACACCGCGTCCTCATGGGATAAAAAAAAATAATCAAATATACCAGGCTGATAATTTTGGACGCCAGACGCAAGTTTTGTCTACAGAAGACTCATCAGTGAGGTTCGAATAAAAAAATTTGAAATGCCACATTAAGTAGAAGTTGAAGAGCATTGAGGAAACAAAAGTCCGAAAAGTTTTGCCAAATTCTGCTTATAAGTAATCTTATCCTCCGGGGTAGAAAAACCTTAGTATTTTGAACAGTTAACATTTTTGCAAAACAGTTAATTTATAATTTTGACCATATGAATGATAATTTAATTATGTCAACACAGAATTGCTGACTACTGAGCTTATGATACACTCTTAATTTACAGAGGAATCTATATGATTTATACAATTTTGAATGCGTCCCATAATATGTTTTCAACAGTTTTTTTCACAATTTCTATCATCTTAAAAATAGATTAATAGTTTAATAATCATGGAAATAATGTTTAGAACAAATTACGTAGGTAGAAAATGTCAGTATGAAGGAAGTTGACAGTTGACAGAACAAAATTTTGCTGATTGTAATGTAAATTATTTCCCTTTATTATTAGCAGATTAATAATTCCTTTAAAAAAAATACCCAAATTACAATTACGCAATAACTTCCTGTAAGAAAACAAAGCTATATATTATTGATCAACAAAACAATGTCTTGAACTAGTAATTCATAAAATTTATTTAGGATAGAAGTTTTCATGTCAAAGTTAAGACTTTTTCAAACCAGTGCCTCATATTATAATGTCATTTTTTTATTTGAATATTATGACATAAACAATGTTTAACTAAAGTTGAATGGAAGTATAACTTAAATGAAAAAAAAATGGAAGTATAACTATTTAACACTGCTAACAACCTGAAGTAATTACTTGAATATCTAACCAGTTCATTAGCTTGTGCAGATGAATTCAAACTGCAATGTGGTAAACCATTTGACCAATTGGTATAGTATAAGGCCAAAGACTACTGAATAAGCACAGTAAGAATCTAATTTTAAAGGTCAGCTCTCTCATAAGGTCAGTTTTCTCTTCTCCATTGGTGACCTTTTCTTAACAAGTTTGCCGGTATATCGTAAACTGTATTCTGGTACCGACTTATTCATATATACTATAATATACTGAGACACTGGTACCGACTTATACATATATACTATAATATACTGAGACACTGGTACCGACTTATACATATATACTATAATATACTGAGGCACTAGTACCAATTTACATGTATACATATATACTATGATATACTAAGACAATGGTACCGACTTATACATACTGAGACAGTCGATGAATCACTTTAACTCTCTAACTCTCGATATATATGAGAGAGAGAGAGAGAGAGAGAAAGAGAGAGAGAGAGAGAGAGAGAGATAATGACTTACCGTTTCTAGATTTTGGGTAAATAACTACAGTTTGTCCGTTATTCAAGAAGTCTGTTTCCCTCGATGATGTATAGGAAATTGATAGAAGTTTCTCCCTTAACTTCGGGTCGTAAATTGCTGTTTTAGACACAAGATTTATAGGTGACTGTTTTGTTCCATTCGAATCCGGAAATTGTGTACTCCATTCTGACGATTCTGTAAATTGGTAGAGAAATTTGTCATTCATCGTTTAAGATGACCCATATATATATATATAAAGCTGTTTTTTCTATATGTAACTATATATGATCGGATTTGTTCTGCACATTTAAGTTTCATCACTATTAATAGAAAGGATTACTTGTATGTGGTAAGGAATATGAAACATTTCCAATTATGCATGTTTCGTATACCCAGGTGATGATGTACAACAGTCTGTATACTGATTATCTACATGTACGTCACAAAGAAAATACGTTAATATTAATCATAAGCAAGAACACGTACCTTTTCGGATATTATGTATAGTCAATTGGAGACCGTGTTTACATTCAAAATATATTTGGAAATTGGAGGAAATAAAAAGATATCAATAATACAGTGAAAGGCATTCAATGTAAAACTACAGTGACACATGAAGTCTTGATACATGTTAGTAAAGATTTTGGTAAAGATCGAAAGATGCTTTGAAATGATAAAAAGGCACATTGGCTCAAATTTCATAATAAAGCCATGATAATAACAATGAAATCAAGATAGACGAAATCCAACGCAGAAATTATACGCGGCCTTCAATGTGTCTGCTGTTGTTTTATCGATATCGTTTAGTATACTAGTTTAACAAAGGCATTTCATTTGAGAATCTGACGACAAATAATCAATAATTATAACAGTATTACTTATCCCTAATGAAAATACAACACGGTTAAATGATAATAAATAGCATATGGGATGAGGAAAGCCATATCGGCAGTCATATTAATGGGCTTCATTAGGAAACAATAGTTCATCAAAGCCAAAGAAAAAAGAAAATGCATTCTATATGGCCTAAATTCCTTCAAAAAGAATAGTTTGCGAAGAATTATTTTCAAGTAATCTTTTCTTGGTGCACAGTCGTCTTAGGTTACAAAATGTTCACAAAGCGTGTTAAAAAAGAGTTGTCCATTCTTCATTAGTATGTTTATATATATATATATATTGTAAGTTTTGAAAACACATTGAAATATTTGTACTTTTTCCTTGGTAAAAATAGCATTTTCTTTTTTTAGTTTCGACAAGTCGAACCCGTATTGAACCATCGCTTTATCAGATTGGAATCAATCACCCAAATTGGTCATAATAACCCGTTTGGGGTTTAATAGCCCAAATGTTATATAAATTTACAGTGCAAACATTTTTTTTTTTTATTTCAGCAATAATATTCAGGAGTGCAATTGTTAGGAACAATAGTTGCAACTTTTGGTAAGGGAATTTTTCAGAAACTGAATACGTTGCTGAATTGGTACCTCTCAGGAGCTCCATCTTCCGTGGTGGTCAATGTTATCAACAATCAAGTAATATTTCACAAAAAAAAACAAAAAATACATTGTATTTCTTGCACAGTATTAAAATTCATATCCCATTTTCACAAATTCAAAACGGTCTATTATAACTCATTTGGTTGACTGGAACCCTGTTTTAAGCGTTTATAATTTGTATATATCTACAAAAAAATTTTAGAACCTTAAAATATACATATGATTGATTGATTGTTGGTTGCTTAACGTCCAGTGTATATACATATGAAGCTGCGATACTGTTAACTTGAGTAAATGATTTGTTCCAGGAATCCCCCTGTTGAAACACGATTAAATTGTTTGACTTACTTGTGTAAATGAATTGTTCCAGGAACCCCCTGTAGAAAACCGAGTAAACTGTTTGACTTACTTGTGTAAATGATTTGTTCCAGGAATATCCCTGTAGAAACACGATTAATTAGTTGACTTACTTGTGTAAATGATTTTTTCCAGGAATACCCCTGTAGAAACACCAGTAAATTGTTTGACTTACTTGTGTAAATGAATTGTTCCAGGAATTCTCCGACAGTTACATCACTAACAAACCCAACTTTACGAATTTTGACAAAGCTACATCGTCGTTTTAGAAGTTGATTTCTTATTCTTTTTCTGTTGTTCGCTATCGTTGTGGCTAACACTGAACTCATGTTGGAAAATTTTATTTAATCAAAATGAGTTGTAGTCATCGGTGCGTTCGATGACAAACCGGATATTTTTATCTTGTGAAAGAACGTATAAAAACATTTGTTACCTGAAAGATCAGACTCCTTGGAATTTATTTATTTGTCAATTTATTTACCGATTAATATACCTTTTATTTACTTAATATGATGTTTAAAACGGAGAACTTTTTTTCTATAGTTAAAAGTAAAAGGACAGCCCATTGACTACCCTGACTGATGATTAATGATTTAATGTTCTAAACGCAGAATAAAATTGTCTACATTCAACCCCCCACCCCCACCCACCCATTTCAATGTTGTGGCTCTAACCATTTATCTTTTGTGGAAGACGGCTTGTTTTTTCTTCTCTCGGAACAAACACTTTTTAATAGATATAGGAAGATGTGGTATGAGTGCCAATGAGAAAACTCTCCATCCAAGTTTAAGACTGTTATCTAAAACAAGTAATTTGTTTTTCAATAACATACAGGAACAAGAACTTTTTGGGAAACTAAACGATAAATAAAAAAAAATTAACCTAAATTTTATTGAAAACAAATTATATTTTTTTTCAATTCCCTTCTGAAACAAAATATTTTTTTAAAAATTTAAAATCAAACGATATCTTTTTTTTAAACCATGCATCCCCCACTCAAGATGAATGTTCGGTGTCTAAGTTAAACCCCCCAGTGACGACTAGACTAGTTGGCCTACATGCATTACAACATTCGGTAAGTACCAAATAGAAATTTTCTGTTATAATTGGTTTTATTGTTTCGGTTGTTTAATAGAGGATTGTTAATCTCCACAACCTAAGGTTGATAATTAATTATCACTAAGAATCTATCGACATATTTTATACATTCTCCAATGTAACCCAAAGACTTGGGTGGCACACATATTGCTCAGCAAAACGCAAAAGTTACACTTTAACAACGCTTAGTCAGAACCTCACAATGAATGTTTTTGTTATATCAAGTCTCAATTGGATTACCATGTTTACTGGTTATTGTGAAAAATATTTTTGTCTACATATTCAACTTACATTTAAATTTTACCCACACATTTCCATAAGGTGCCAAAAGTTGTGGTCTTATAATACATCATGATTGAGTCTGACAGAAATGACCTTCTTATATACCAATACCCATGATCCTATAATATATCATGACGGAGTCTGACAACATTGATTTACTCAGATACCAAAATCGGTTACCTTTTAGCGCATTTAGTTTGATATAAAATAAGAAGATGTGGTATGATTGCCAATAAGACAACTGTCCACCAGAGACCAAATGTCATAGAAGTTAATTGACTTCAAGATACCAATACCCATGTCCCTTTAGCGCATCCTACTTCAAACTGATCGACTGTTTGTTCTGATTGTTCTGACAACATTGACTTACCGAGATACCAATACCCATGATCATGTTTGAATCTGATTATTTTGAGAACATTGACTTACTGAAATACCAATACCCATGACCCTGTTTAAATTTGTTTCTTCTTACAACACTGACTTACTTAAATACCATTACTCATGATCCTTTAGCGCATCATAATTGAATCTGATTGATCTGACAACAGTGACTTACTGAGATAACAATACCCATGATCATGTTTGAATCTGATTTTTCTGACAACATTAACTTACTGAGATACCAATACCCATGATCCTTTAGCGCATCATGTTTGAATCTGATTGTCCTGACAATGTTAATCATCCAGCTGCTACTGTTAGTCCGCTTCACAGGTCGACTCGGTCCATCATCAGATGCTGCAACAAAACAATTTTTGTTTACACGTCTAGACACAAGAAAAAAATCTTTTGTACCAATGTAAATATGCTCGATATACTTACTAGAAATGTAATGCTATGATTAATTCTGTCAAAAAGAGGAAAAAGATACCAAAGAGATATTTAAACTTATTAGAAAAAGACAAACTCATAATACCATGGAACAAAGAAACAAAAAACGACGGAAAGACCATCAACCGTCTACAAAACACAACAAAAAACGACGGAAAGACCATCAACCGTCTACAAAACACAACAACAAACGACGGAAAGACCATCAACCGTCTACAAAACACAACAACAAACGACGGAAAGACCATCAACCGTCTACAAAACACAACAACAAAAAACGACGGAAAGACCATCAACCGTCTACAAAACACAACAACAAACGACGGAAAGACCATCAACCGTCTACAAAACACAACAACAAAAAACGACGGAAAGACCATCAACCGTCTACAAAACACAACAACAAAAAACGACGGAAAGACCTTCAACCGTCTATATACAAAACACAACAAAAAACGACGGAAAGACCATCAACCGTCTACAAAACACAACAACAAAAAAACGAAAGACTGAGTAACACGAGTTCCACCAAAATGAAACAGGAGTAAATTTGTGTCCTCCGGAAGGGTATAAATAAGAAGATGTGGTATGAGTGCCAATGAGACAACTCTCCATCCAAGTCACAATGTGTAAAAAGTAAAAAATTATAGGTCAAAGTACGGTCTTCAACACGGAGCCTTGGATCACACCGAACAGCAAGCTATAAAGGGCCCCAAAATGACTAGTGTAAAACAATTCAAACAGGAAAACCAACGGTCTAATCTATATAAAAAACGAGAAACGAGAAACATTTATGAACCACATCAACAAACGACAACCACTGAACAACAGGCTCCTGACTTATGACAGGTGCATACAAATGCAGCGGGTTTAAACGTTTTAACAGGCGCCAAAATTCACCCTAACCTGAAACAGTATTGTAACATTACAACATAAAATTCTGCTACACATGTGGCACCCGTCGTGTTGCTCATGTTGCTCTGTGATAATATTCGGTGATGTCACATTCGAGAAAAAGAGAACGGAATTGTGGTTACGACAAAATTCGAACATATCCATCTTCATCTATGAAACTAATATTCCATATTGGTCAAGCAACTCGTGATGGCATCCGTAAAATTTTCAAAGGGATGACTTTAACTCTACCACTTGAAACCCTTTCTTTAATAGCTTCTTTGTGAGCAGAGTTTTCTATCGATTAATTGATTGATTAGTGTTAAACGCCTATTTCAGCATTTTTTTGTGCCATTTCGTGGCGGTCAGTTTTTATTGGTAACTTTCTATCGAGGAAATCACTATAGGAAACGCAAGGTCTGGAATATCGTATCAACTGGGACAAATCATGTTCTCCTTGACAACATTTTTGTACGTATCGACAGTAAAGGTAATTGACTGTTTGTAGGTATTCCTATAGGCACAAACTGCGCCAATTTATTAGCAGACTTGTTTCTATGTCGTTATGAATGACAGTTTATAAACTAACTCAGAAATAAATTGGCTTAATTCTATTTAATAGAAAACATTAATAACACTTACCGATACATTTAATCTGTATTATATTTTGCTTTCAATAATCAAGAACTCTGATTTACTGCGAAAATTTGCCCCAGGTAACTGCCTTTAAATACAGCAAACAGATTTGCTTTTCCAGTTTGGCTTTTTCTGTAGAAATCTTATTACAAACGGGATGTCAAATCATAATGTTTAAGGTGGTACCAAACACCTTGACTAAAATTAATTTGGCTCGTTTAATTTTCATAAAATTTTGACAAAATATTTACTTTGACCCTTTGACAAAAATATAAAAATTTTAAAAAACTTGAACCACACACTTTATCGGAACTCGTTGTAAAAAAGGTGTTCCCCAGTTTGGCAAACACTAATTTTGATCATTGAGAAGCTTAATATTTTTTTAACAATAGAACGTGATTAAAACGTTCAGCTGATTTTTACAGAGTTAATTCCCTGTAGTGTTATGTACCACCTTGAGGTGTTTTTTGTTTATATAGCTCGCAAATTAAGATTTGATACAGGTTTATGAGCCCTTTGAATAAATTTGTTCTTATGGTTATTAATTTAGCATTAGCAAGATTTTTAAATATTCCCTTTTTCGTTACTAATATTGCTTTTTTTCGGTACTAACATTGTTTTTTTAAATTGATTGGTGGATAGTTGTCTCATTGACAATCATAACCCATCTCTATAAATATATGAAAAATACAAATACGCGTATTTTTTAAATCTCGGAATTTTAAGACAGTTTAGTTTTGCCCTGTTGTCTCAGATCAAATTTCCATCGCAGATGCTTCGTTCATCAGCATTTGCATGCATGGATCTCTTTTTGACATAGAAGGCGATAATTCAAAAATGGCAAAATTAAAACATTCTCGGGTTGCAATACAAGCCGGATAGAAAACACTGCCCAAGTAACAACATAATAGTAACAACAGATAAATACGTACTATGAATAGCCCCTACTCTTCTGGACTTTGAAGAAGTGAACATTGTTGTTCGCCTTCTTTGACAAAATTTTATGTCTGATATTTATACAGTTAATAAGGGCGCGTGTTTAACTTTTAATAAGAAATCATTACATATTAAACCGATTGCATCCATAAACTAGAATTAATTGCATTGATGAAAGGTTTAAAATAAAGTCGTACAAACTATTATTGATTATTGTCAGTTTACATGTACGAAGTATTGTTACGCAATGGTTTTCCAGTATTGAAATATGGTTAAACATATCATCAGCATTAAGTCCACAGATGACATAGTGTTTCATAGTTCTGAATGTCAACTCTTTTACAAATAACATTGCACTTACTGATAACCGTTTCAAACTCTTGTTTTTTTTTTAATTTCACCGGCAAAAGTATATAATCAGCAAACAATTTTAAGTGGATTCCGTTGTATTTACGCTACACTCAAACAAAGTCCAGTAGTCAGACGAGAACCAGCTTACAAACAATTCAGTTCAGTTTCAGATAAATAAATCTAATTCCCCCTTTTTTATAATTTCACAACAGAATATAATCAGCAAACAGTTCAGTTCAGTTTCAGCTTAAAAAAATTAATGCCTCCTTTTTTAAAAATTCAACAGCAGAAAATAATCAGCAAACAGTTCAGATCAGTTTCTGCTTGATAAATGTAATGCCCCCCCCTTTTTTTTAAAATTTCACAACAGAATATAATCAGCAAACGATTCAGTTCTGTTTCATCTTATTAGATTTAATATCCCCTTTTAAATCATAGAAAATACCAGACTTACCTCCTATGTATTTTTGCATGAAACCTAACAGTTAACATATATCATATGTATTGACGATGTCACCAGAAAAGACACTTGAAACATGTTTAAAGGTCAACCTCAAAGTTTATCACAGTGCTAAAATATTGGAATTGTTTACTTACATTATATACCTGTTGTAAAACATCTTAATCTAGATAAAGGTGGTATTTGTTTAATGAAAGACTATTTAAAATCAATAAGATCTATAATGCATTTCTAATCGAAAATTATTTTTTTAGGTGATAAACATCAACTCTGACCAGATTACTGTCTCCAAGTTTAACAATTGCTTCTAGACGGTACAATTATCTGTCTTCTGTGTAGCAAAAGTACTTCCTTCAAGTAAAATTATAGTCCATACCATATCTAAGTTTACAAAGGTTGTACATTATTTCAGTATCAGTGTGGTAGTTAAAATGTTGTTTTGAGATTTACTTGAGTACCGGAGTGGTTAGCGAGGGGATTTATGTATACTTTGTTACTTTCATTACGGAAAGTATATGGATTGATGTATAAGATACAACGTTCGTATGCTATGATATATCTGATGAATAAAGGAATATTTTTTATCGTGGTCTTTAACCAATCAATTTCTGGACGGTGCTTATGCATTTCAACAAGAATCCTAATATTTAGTGTGGACTTGACATTTTATTACAATACTTCAAAGCCGATAACTATAAATACCAGTAATCTCACGAAAAGAATCTGAATACAATTCTAGAAAAATAGCTGAGTGTTTTCGGATTGCCATGTGAAACATAAAAGAGTTGCCTTTACTTGGTTGTCAGGAAATGAACGTAAAAGTACTGTACTGTTACACCACTGTCCCAGGTTATGACATTCTTTATGTGCCTGTCCCAATTCAGGAGCCTGTAGTGCAGTGGTTGTTGTTGGTTCATGTCTGTCATATTTGTTTTTCGTAAATTGTTTTGTTATAAATTAGGCCATTATTTTTTCTCAATTGAATAGTTTCATATTTTACGGGGCCTTCTAAAAGCCGACTATACGGTATTGGTTTTTTCCTGTTGAAGGCCATACGGTTGCCTATAATTGCTTACATCCACTAAATTTGAACTTTGGTAGATAGTAACGTGTTGTCTCATTGGCAATTATACCACATCTCCTTATGTTTATAGTTATTGTACTTTATACTATTATAATTAGATATTCCAGGCAGATTATATTATAATATCTGTATATTGCCATGTAATATTCATCACGATGACGATCATGATATTTTTTTCATCTTACTGTATTATATTTTATTACACACTAACGAGTATTGGCCTATTACACGTATTATATGATTCAGCATCAAACTATGAATGTAATGACATACTTACGTGAGTACGACACTGGTGATGTTACACACACGAATCTCAAACAATGCCATATCTTTTTAAGGATATTAATGCAAAAACTCATTTCATAATCATTGTCAATAAAATCTTTTTTTAACTTTCATCAACCCAACACAAAGTTTTCAGTTCCATAGATATTTGCAGATTTTCAACGATTGAATACTAGTACTATATCCATGTTAAAAGGAAATGTGTTTACAAGGGTTTAATATATAAATAGATTATTTTTGCCCTGTCAGTGACATATAAAATTCGCCAAGTGTTTATTAATATTAATATTAGTTTTAATTGAAAAAGGGATAACCTTTTCAATATAAAAAAAAGGAAATTAAAAGACTGTATCTGTGTATATTTGTCCATTATAAAACACCTACTGAAATAGCATGTAAAGATAGTCAAAAACTTCATTATCCTTGAGGTCCTGCCATAGGTGAATAGATATTCATGTCAAAAGCTTGTGTCAATTGAATTATTTTTTTTAAATCAAATTGTGCTCAACTAGGGCGTCTTCTTATACTTATGAAAGATTGGAGATGAAATTTGCAAAGAAGCGATTTGCATTTGTCAATTATTGGAGTTTTAATTTTGTGATTAAATTCGTATTAAAACTTATTTAACTTGTCTTCATTCCAAAAGATTTATAGAATTAACATTAACTTAGCAACCTAGCTTTACATGCATATATGATCACTAACTTATTGTTGCAATGATTCAAAAATGATGTCAGAGAGAGAGAGAGAGAGAGAGAGAGAGAGAGAGAGAGAGAGAGAGAGAGAGAGAGAGAGAGAGAGGGCCAAATTATATTTGATGAAAAATATTACTACAAGATTTGTTAGAGTTATTATTGCATTGTGTGGCTCTTCATTTAGTGTGCGTTTTTATAAATGCAAATTCTGGGGTTGATGACAATATAATTCACCTCAAATAGTCAGTAAATAATCACTATTCGATTATTAAATTGCCATTTTTGTAGCAATTAATTATTGGCTATATTATTATGTAGTTGTCGTATTTGTGCCAGTTTAAATTTTCGCTACAAGGTGTTAAGTTGCACCATAAATGAATAATTATTTTTCGCTGTTTTCAGTTAACATAGTTGGACAATACGGAGGAAACAAGTCCTTAATTTTATATGTAGACAAGTCTTGTAGATTACCCCCCCCCCCCCCCTTTTACCAAACCCTTTTCCAAAACCTCCAAAAAAACACTTTATTATTTTAAGATAAGAAAAACAATAAAACATAGTTATCCGATCTCAAAAATGAACGACAATGATTTTTCAAGAAGTTGTACTTATTTTTCAAATATTGGGTTGTGAAACATTCACATTGAATATAAGATAAGATAAGATAAGATATTTTATTTCCAATTATGGGCCCCAAAGGGCATAAACATTACAACATCAATAAGTTTTCATAATACAATACAAACAATGAGATAAAAAAAAAAAAAAGTTAAACGAGAACTATTTAAGTTCTTAAAGAATATGTAGATAAAGAATCTATAGTATGTTTTTTTTTTTAATACTAATGCATTTTATTGCAAGTGTGGTTGATATAGATAACAAACAAGCAGCCCAAAAAGAAAAAAAGAAAAATAGATATCCACATATGTATAGTACACAAAAAGTTGGATCAATTAAATATATAATAATTAGCCAAAAAGAAAGTAGAAATTAAACATGTCCATGACTCATCCTGTGTCAGCAGCAAATAGGAAAGCATTATGGTTTCCTAAAGGCAGCTGACACCAGTGGGCGATACCTTATGGGCCATAGGCATGTAAAATGTGTGTAAATGTCTCTTTCCTACCTGTATCAAAAGCAAACAAGGAAGCATCATAGGTAACTTGAATGCAGTTGATACCAGGGGACGATGCCTCAAGGATATAAGAGAACATTTGAATAAATAATATATCTTAACAATTATTTTTTTTTTTAATCGGCTAGTATGTTTGTGATATTCAGATGAATATAATTTTCTATGTCCAATCAAATGTATATACACACATAGATTTCCTTTAACTAATCTTCACTAAGGAAGATGTTTGTATATAAAATTACATATTATTTTAAGTAACTCAACATTTTCTACACTAAATAACCAGATAATTTTGCTTTGACTGCTCATATGATTAAAATAAGAATTATATTGTGCAATACTAGCTAACATACAATTTCTATCATCCTCAAATTTGTTACAATCAAATAGAAAATGAGCCTCATCTTCGACAGTATTGGAAGAACATTTATTACATATTCTGTTAATTCGGGGAATACCCTGATATCTACCTAATTCTATTTGTAATCTATGAGAAGATACACGTAATTTAGTAAAACTTCTTCTAAGTTCAAAATTCTTGATCAATGTTAGATATTTTTCAAAACCAAAATTTGTCACAGTTTATATAAAAGGTAGGTTTTCAGTTTACTGTCTGAAAATTTATCTATTTGTTTTTTCCAACAGCTAATAAACAATATTGATAGCTTGGTTTGTATATATTTCTTAAATTTGTATAAGGATTCACAAAATGGAGCATTTATGGCATTTGTATAGTCAATACCAAGTATTTTAAAAACAACATTTATTGAACCATACCATGATGTTATATTCATGTGATGTAGTGTCTTTGATTGTGTATATGCCTCTTTTAATAGAGGAAAATTATTACCTAAATTCTCTAATCTATACCAGTACAATAACATTCCTTTTATAATATTAAAATATATTGGAAATCTTCCAAGTTCAGATAACACTGCAGCATTTGTTGTTTTCTTGTGTACCCCAAGTATAAATTTACAAAATTTTATATGAAGTTTCTCACAGGGTAAACCTGAATATAATTTTTCAAAAGATATATCTTCCTTCTTACATTTAGAGGAAAGAGAATTAAACATCCCCCATATTTCGCTACCATATAATAAAATAGGTTTTACAGTGTGGTCAAAAACATGAATACTTGTTTTTACATCAGGATTAAGTGATAAAAGATCTTTCCTTAATTTGAAATGAGCTTTCAGGGATTTTTTGTATAGTTCATTTTGAGCATAACTGAATGAACCAGATGAGCTTAAATATAAACCTAGGTATTTGTATTTTGAGACACATTCCAGATTTATATTCTGAAATGTGAATATCTGTTTTACATGTCTGCCTGCCTTGTTGAAAATCAGCACCTTTGTCTTATTAGTATTCACATTGAGACACCAATCTTTGCAAAATTTATCAAGCATTCCCAGCTTTTCTCGTAGTCCTTCAGCTGATGTAGATAATAAAACAATATCATCAGCATACATTAAGCAATGTAGATCTTTGTCATTGACATTAACTGGGTCTCTAGTATCTGACAAATATCTGGGCAAATCATTTATGAATATCTTGAATAAATTCGGACTGAGGTTGTCACCTTGTTTGACTCCAATATCTAATGGGAAAAAATCACTTACTTGATTTTGAATTTTGACACATGATTTGCTAATTTCATACATACTTTTAATAATGTTATAAAAATAAGACCCAGCCCCAATATCTAGTAGTTTAATCTTGATCCCTGTATGTATAACAGTATCAAAAGCCTTCTGAAAATCAACAAAACAGGCAAACAGTCTACCTTCTTTTGAATTACAGTATTTGTTAATAAGACAGTTTAAAATAAACATATGATCTGCAGTTCTGGCTTTCCTTGTGAATCCAATTTGACTATCATGTATAATATTATGTTCCTGAAGAAATTTGTCCAGTCTTAGACTTAATATTCTATTAAAAAGCTTTCCAATTGCACTTGTTATTGTTATTCCTCTATAATTGTTAGGGTCACTTGTATCGTTGCTTTTAAAAATTGGTGTAATATAACCTTCAGCCCAAGATGTTGGGTATATACCTGAAGACAGACAAGTATTAAACATCTGTTGAAAACTTTTTAAAAGGAAAGTCTGTCCATTCTTTATCATATTATTACTAATGTTATCCAAGCCTGATGATTTATTGCATTTTAAGTGTGAAATGGCTTTGGATATTTCAGACTCAGTGATAACGGAGTCCAACTCGTTGAAACATTTTGAGTTTTCTAACTGTTTCAGTTTTTCACATAGCTCTGTATATCTACTTTGAAATTCACCTTTCAGTTGTGACAACTTTTGGAAATGTGATATCAAAGTTGATGGTTGTACTCCACATTTTTTTTGTGTTTCATTTTTTTCCTGTAGTTCATTAATTAAGTTCCAATACAGTTTTGGATTCTCTTCGTGCAAGGAGTCCAGCTGACTAATCAATGATTGTTTGTATTGTTTGTATTTATATTTCCTTAGTTTGGAGTATTCACGATTCAGTTTATAAAAGTGATTTTTGATAATTGGATCATATGGAAATCTTGAATAAATTTTTCCATAATTAAGCAAGTTAGTTCGAGCTTGTTGTAAACTTGCGTCAAACCACTTTTTGTTTTTTTGTTTGTTTGTGTGTTTTTTTTAAAGGTCGTTTAAGTGATAGATTTGCTGCTGATAAAAAGATGTTTGAAAGTTTTGATGATGCTTCATCTACTGATGTCTGAGTAAATTGAATTGTGCTGTTGTTGAATTCTAGTATGTAGTTTTGTAGTGTATCTGAAGAAAGTGTTTCTTGAAATTTTATTGCTGAACAGTCAGTCCAGATATAATTAGGTGTCTATATATATATATAGTTAAACGAGCAATAGACTAAATATAAATATCCTTAGGAATATGCGATTATACTCGTTAGATTCACTAAAGAATGTTTTTCCTTCTTCAATCATTAGACCAATTCTTTATTACGTTGGTGTCATATGGGACAAGCTAAACTAACTTAACTAAGCTTTATGAAGAAACGGGTTGGATAATATTTTCAGATAAGGGAGAATCGCAAACTTAGTACTATGATTTAAAAAATGGTGAAAAGAGAAATTTACTTTTAACCATTTCACCCGACAGACTCTAAGTTTTGGGCAATATGTACCAGAACTCACATCTAATCCGATTATTTTCTACTTTCGTTATATTTACACACATTTTACATGCCTATGGCCCATAAGGTATCGCCCCCTGGTGTCAGCTGCCTTTAGGAAACCATAATGCTTTCCTATTTGCTGCTGACACAGGATGAGTCATGGACATGCTTAATTTCTACTTTCTTTTTGGCTTATTATTATATGTTTAATTGATCCAACTTTTTGTGTACTATACATATATGGATATCTATTTTTCTTTTTTTCTTTTTGGGCTGCTTGTTTGTTATCTATATCAACCACACTTGCAATAAAATGCATTAGTATTAAAAAAAAACATACTATAGATTCTTTATCTACGTATTCTTTAAGAACTTAAATAGTTCTCGTTTAACTTTTTTTTTTTATCTCATTGTTTGTATTGTATTATGAAAAATTATTGATGTTGTAATGTTTATGCCCTTTGGGGCCCATAATTGGAAATAAAATATCTTATCTTATCTTATCTATATGATGCCCCTTTACTCTTATTTTCCTGTCAAGTGCGGGAAAATGAGAATAGAAGCGCATATGACAATAACGAATTAATATGTTTAAACTAAGAATCGAAACAGACGAGTACAGTGAAAACAAGTTGACTATATATACACAGTTTTATATTGACTATGACACACAGTTTTGTGATGCAAACAAAATAAGTAGATATTTTGTTTAAAACGTTTTATCAAAGGTCACTTGAGGACTTATATCCTACTCAAAATCCCCACGATGCGAAAACGTAACAGGTAATGCTGGCGAACGAAAGAGCTTAATACAAGAATAAAACATCTATACTATAAAAAATAAATATATATCATTGATTGATTTTATTCTACTATTAGCATGTATTGTGTAACTGTTGGCTCACAAAAAATATTTTATTTTTGCAGAATGAAATATGATTTTTTGCGTAAGTATCAAGGATGTTGAAAAAGAAGCCCCGTGAAAACTAGGCAACGATAGGAATGGAAAATGTAAAAAGTCTATGCATTAACCATATATGTAGCTCCATAAAGAGGGGGGTCGGACCTCTGCCTCCTAAATCCGCCTCTGTTATTAGCCGTCCCTTCATAGTTTCTGCAGTAAACAATTATATTTTCATGTTTGTGCTTAATCCTATAAATTCTTTAAATTTAGGTTTATTTTGTTTATGTTCGGTGTTCAGAATCTTCTATCACACTGGCAAATTATTCTCTTATGAGGCGCGGATTTAGCCCAAAATTATTGCCACGGTATTCAAGCGGAAGCTCCAGAAATATCAAGTTCAGGACCTCCATAATTCGATTTCAGGATATCCTTAAATGTTTGATGAGGTCCACAATTATTTCCGGACCTCAACAAAGTGATTTTAATTATATCCTGAAATCGACTTAAGGATATCCTAAAAATCCCGGCAATTACCATGAGGTTCTGAAATATTTCAGGAGCTCCTTTTTTTTAAATACAATATAAATTTTGACCAAATCCACGCCTCATATTCTCTATTCTCTCTTATGAGGGGGTGGACAGGGAGTACTCTCTCCCACCTCCCACCTCCCAGTCTACCACCCCCCCTCCCCAAAAAAAAAAATCTCCCACCTCCCATCCTTTAACATCAATTTTTCTCCCACTGTTTAAGTGTACCTATGAAATGTACAAGTAGTAGTCTTGTAGATATACAAATTTCTAGCACCATTATTGGCATTTAAGTAAGTAGAGGTATAAACATAAGGAGATGTGGTATGAGTCCCAATGAGACAACTATCCACCGAAGTTCAAATGAAGTGGATGTAAGCAATTATATGCAACCGTACGACATTCAACAATGAGAAAACCCCATACTGTATAGTCTGCTTTAAAAGGCCCTGACATTGAAAAATTTGAAACAATCCAATTGAGAAAACTAACGGTCTAATTAATAACAAAATAATTTACGAAGAAAACAAATAAATCAAATATGAGAGACATGAACCAACAACAACCACTGAACTACAGGTTCCTGACTTGAGACAGGCATACAAAGAATGTGGTGGGGTTAAACATGTTTGTGAGCGCTCAACCCTCGCCCTAACCAGGGACAGAGGTGTTATAGCACAAAATAAGAACAAACTATAAAAATCAGTTGAAAAGGGCTTAACTCATCAGATCGATACAAATCAGAAAACATATAATGAAAACACAGACCGGATGTGGCAGGGTATTTATACAAGACACAACATACAGATCTGGGAGTACTCGCAGTTACTGACAGCTATTTCAAAGCCAATAACAACTAATAAAAAAATCATGTATCTAAGACGTAAATATCAATCAGTACACATCCAACATCCAATGGATTTAGTGTAAAAAGGTCATTAACAGTCAGAGATAAACACGACCTTGTGTAATACCAACATTTAGGTATCGACAGACAGCAGTATCACATTTGGTAACTGGTTTATTAAGGAGACTACGGAATATGACGTCCATATATACTTGATTTATAATACTCCATTCCGTGTGTTTCATACTGCGGTAAAACATTATGTGTTTAACTATGTAGATATAGTGTTAGGAGTGCGAATATGTCATTCACATAACGGTCAACTTCTTAACAATTGTTATAATTGTGTAGACTAGTTGACCGTCCATGTAATGTAGTTGACATAAATCTTGTATACTTTTTTTTTTAATGCAAAGATGTCTCAACTTTAATTTTTTCTCATTTTAAAAAGGACTCACATATTTCAGAGTTTAGTAGTCTGTCGAGTACTTGTTTGGTATTATATATAAACATAAGAAGATGTGGCATGATTGGCAATGCGACAGCTATCAACCAGAGTCCAAATGACGTAGATGTAAGCAAGTACACTGATCAGTGGCGTAAGAGTGAACTTAAAAGTGTGGGCAGTGGAGGTTTGTGAAAGTGACAGGCAAGAAATAAAAAAAGTTTTTCTATAGTCTAGGAGTTATTCACTGTCCTCTTTCGTGTTCAGTAAATTTTTTTGCCAAGAAGTCGGTAGGGAGGCAACTGCTCCCTTGCCCAAGGCCCCTACTCCAGTGACTATGTTGAAGTAATGTAAAGGTCACCATACGGCCTTCAACACTTTATGATGATCAAAATCAATATCGTATAATCGGCTAATCAAAAAGGTCCCAACATAACAAAATGTGAAACAATTCAACGAGAAAACCAATGGCCTGACTAATGCCAAAACAATTAACAATTAACGAAAATCTGAAAGGAAATATGGCCATACAAAATCGGCTCTGATTAATTTTACATACATGTAGAAACTATTTGTTTTTTCCCACCTCCCACCCCACTTTCTCCCACCTCCCTTTTTAGCTGACCACCGGCCTCTCTTATCTGAATCTGATGTACGGAATACGTTCGTGTTCGTTTCCCACCTTAGCTTCGTAGTTAGTCGTTAACAATAAACTTCCGCCAGTTTGGCAGAACAAAAAAGTGGAAAAATCAAAATGCTTTTTGAGTTAATAATTCTCATTTGTCTGATTGGTATTTTTATGTTTCTTATTTCATGGCTGGTGTCACCACAAGTATTAAAACTGGACGGAAAACATGTGTTGGTGCGTCACTTGCATATCAAAATGCATGTTATCTCTCTTTCATATTTCCTCTCACTCTGTCAGGTTCTTTTATCTGCAGTTTGGGCTAATACAACTTGAACTGGCCATTAACTATCAATTGGGCTATACAAGTTACCTCACACGACACCTTCTGTAATATGATCGTTGTGTCTGGCTTTCAATGTGGGAGTGCAATTTGAACTATGCAGATACTATAAGGAAGTATTCCAAAATATAATTATGCAATATATTTCTACTTTCAAAGTGGAAAAATAATTCCCAAGTAAATCATGATGTTATTAGAAGTATTCAACTATGATTCATTATTATGCATTGAAAGTTGTAGACTGCACCTCCAAGTATTAATGTAGTCCAGATAATTATGACGTCTTGGAAGGCTATTTGAATTTTTAGCTTTGACGCCTTCTTGTGACAATGAGGGATACAAAAATATTCAAAATAGAAAAATGCCCTCAGTAGACGGCATGATTATCTGGACTAGTATTAATGCAGATCCATACTTAAATTTCTTTAAAAAATGTCAAAGAGAGATATTTTTATGGCTCAACCGGGCAGGTAAAACATTGTTTCTGCACCCTTAGAAAAAGTCAATTGGCACCTGTAGAGAAAGCCAAATTGGCACCTATTTTGAGTCATTTTGGCATTTGATAAGTTACCTTACATTTATGATAATTTTTCTGTTATTCTGGGTAAACATTAGTTCCTGACAAAACATGTACACCTATAAAATTTACCCCAAAAAAATTAAACCTATATTCCCCTTTAACATCTCAATCACTTAAATTCTCAATAATTTCTAAAGAAAATGAAATAAATGGGCCAAATATGGAAAAAACCAGAAGATGGCATGTTTACCATAAGTGCTGATATACATGTAACCATGTACTGAATTGACTATTGGATATCGATTTGACCAAATGATTGAACGAGGTGAAGAAGTGACTAGAATTTAATCAAGCTATAGCTATATAAGCTAGAGTTGTAGTTTTCTTGAACTTGTCTAATTTCAAAAGCCACACTAATGAATAAAAAGTAATCCCCACAAATATCAATGAATATGGCTTATTAAAAACATGAACTGGATCCTTTCATTCCTGTCCAACAGGTCACAATGTGAAGTTGTTAATAGGTGTAAGAGTAAATCTAGAAATTCATCTTCTATCTTACCATAATATGCATTAAGTAAGGATGCGAAACGAGATGTAGCATCCTATAATAAAACACAAATATACAGAGAAAACTCCAAATTTATTTTTTTTTCTGCTGTTTTAATTTATTTGAAACAAACAACTAACAATTTTTATTTTACAAAGGACATAGTGTGCCCTCAATTTTAGAATTCATTCATACATTTTTGTATTATTCAAAATTATCAGTCAAAATGTTTTCTACCAGGATCACCAGCCTTCACCATTCATTTGATACCTACATAGTTTGACATTACACCTATGCGTAGGAACTATTTTATTTTAAATATGTACTACTTTCCGGATCCAGTATGTTCGTTTTGATTGAGCCAGATTTGGTGGTGTTACATCTTTCAAAGTCTATCCAATTATTTGGTGCAAACAATTCCACTCAAGCCAGTGCTAGGGGCTGTTTGAAAGTTGCAGTGAGGTGAGAGTTTTTTTTGTTCTGTGTTGAAGGCCTCTCTGTGACTTTGAGATGAAGAACAGCAATAAAAGTGCTTTTTGTAAAATTCAGAATGAAAATGGTTTTTTTTTTTGCTGTGCATGAACTGATTTTGTGTCATGGATAGATAACCCATGTCCTTTTTTTTCTATTGAGTAAACAAATTACAAAAATGACAAAATGGTACATCAATATCAAGCAGTGTTTTTTTCTGAGCTTGACTACATGTAAGATGACTAAGCAGAGAGATGTCCAGCGTTTATATCTCAAATCTAATCATTTTAGATAACTGGTGGCTCAAGTGGTATAGGGAAGGCTATTGCCAAGGAAGCAATAAGAAGAGGAGCTGTAGTATCAATTATGGCTAGAAATACTGTAAGGAAGATAAAATATATAGGTTTAAATAGCTAGAAATACTGTAAGGAAGATAAAATATACAGATTTGATTGGCTAGAAATACTGTAAGGAAGATAAAATACACAGATTTGATTGGCTAGAAATACTGTAAGGAAGATAAAATATACAGGTTTAAATGGCTAGTAATACTGTAAGGAAGATAAAATATACAGATTTGATTGGCTAGAAATACTGTAAGGAAGATAAAAAAAAATGGAGGTTTAGTTGGCTAGAAATACTGTAAGAAAGAAAAAAATATAGAGATTTAAATGGCTAGAAATACTGTAAGGAAGAAAAAGTATAGAGGTTTAACTGGCTAGAAATACTGTGAGAAAGAAAACATATAGAGACTTAAATGAATAATGGCTAGAAATACTGTAAGGAAGAAAAAATATACTGATTAAAATGAATTCTTGCATTAAAAAGATCTAATTTCAATTCTTTCAGTAGCAAAAAATTGATAAAGGTGGCTGATGATATTTTGTAAATCATACATGTAATTAAATATTTATGGTCAAGTTTTTTAAGTGGCTTAGGAGATTTATAATATTTATAATTTTTACAGACACACATTTATTTATTGTTGCTTGCTTGCTTAACAATAATAATAGAATGAAAGACAAAATCTTAATAGTCATATCAATATTTAATTATGTCAATTAAGTGACCCACTGATATTGACACACATTACCTCATCTTCCAAATAAAGTACTTATCTCTCTAAAGAACTACAGTAAAGCAACTATATGGCTGATTGAAATATGATTTGAAATTAACAGCAACAAACATGATGATCAGCAAGAACATTTTTTTTAACCTAGTTTCCATTCAACAGAAATATTCTCATGCAAATATGCCAAGTCGTTATTAAAGGCTAAATGGAGCCTCACATTTTGATTTTACTATGGACGTGGTAAAAGCAAAGTTTGGAGGACTCTTGTAAGTCTCTTAACATAGCTGTCATTACTATAAATAGAAATTTATGGAAGAAAATTATAAGTGCCAGTTTAGCTATACATTCCATGTAACTTTTTTAATAATTATTTTAAATGCCTATATATTGTTAATAAAAATTCCATACCACTTTTCTTCTTTGCAACATGCTCCTTTCATCTAAAATTATCCAGAATTTTATAATATTTCATGTTTTGTTTTATTTGCAGACAAAACTTGAAGCTGCAAAGGTGGAATTAGAGAAAGTTGCTGGGAATAGTTTTAAGGTGAGCATTATGTTATTTTTTTAAGGGAGGGTTAACTTAAGATAAATGAAATATTGTGGTTTTCTCTGGTACATAAATGTATCTTTAGTATTCATGTTATCATAAAGCACATTTCAAAATAAAAGATAAGTGAAAACCCATGCACATATTTGCATGCCCTTCACCAAGAAGGGGGAATATATGTACATAGTTTTATGTTTCTTTTTTCTTTGTTTTCCTTAATTTTTTTAGATTTAGTCCCAAGCTTTATTAGTTTTGTGCATTTTCATTTCTGGTCATAATAATGTTTAACCAAGTAAGTTGAAGAAGAAAGAATATTGGTATATTCATGGGAAAATACCAGATATCAAAGCTTGTGAGATAAACCAGATATCAAAGACTTGGGAAATACCAGAAATCAATGCTCTTGGAAAATACCACATATCAAAACTTTTGTGAAACCCCAGATATTAAAACTTATGGAAAATTTCAGATATCATAGAAAAAACAGATATCAAAGCTCATGGAAATAAACCAATATCACAGCTCAGGGAGAAAAGATATCAAATAAACATTAATTTTATTGCTGTTCTTCATATTGTAATTTTTTGTTTCCGTTAGCTAAAGAATTTATGTCATACAGTAAAATCTATAAATGCAGAAATAAATGTGTGATGTCCTATGTATTAGTTTTATTTCAATGATATAATTTTTTGCACCATCTTATTTTCCTGAAATCTAATTCATTCTCTTTGTATTTCATGTTTCACATTTTTGTAAACCACTAGTACCTGTTATTTTAATGAAGGTTTCATTTTCCTTCAACACAAAGATTTTGATCATTATTTGGGTAAGAACTGATTAAACATATTTGATACAATTTTGAACATTCCACTCATATTAAACATCAATGATGAAGCTTTGAACTTGAATATTCCAAATGAACTGCTGTCATAGTATAGCGATTGTTGATCCTTTACAGCCAATATTGTGTATAGACATGTACATGAATATTAAACATTTGACTTCCCGTCCATTACAGCCAGTATGTTTTGTATCTGTTGACGTGGCTGGAGAGTATGAAGCAGTACAGAAAGCAATACAACAGGTACCAGATTAATAGTTTATACTTGTTCCCTGTTTAAATACCCATGTTTGAGTACCCTTTTTGGGCAAAAGACAATATCATGTGTGTTAAGTAGGGATTTAGGAAAATATGATTTTAGTCTGTAAAAGGGTCCAATTACTAAAAGAGAGACAAAAGATACTAAAGGGACATCCAAACTCATAAGATAAAAATAAACTGACAATGCCATGGCTAAAAAAGAAACAGACAAACAGACAAACAACAGTACACAAAACACAACATAGAAATCTAAAGACTGAACAACACAAACCCCATGAAAAACTGGGGATGATCTCAGGTTCGTAGTAATATAGTTTAAACATCAGTTTACGCATGTTTTATTTGCTTGAATATTTAAAAGGATTGAGACACAAGTTAAGCAAACTTTTAATGTTTTCTTCTGTAAATAATTGGCTACAATATATTATTTAAAGAGCATTCATACAATACAATGCAAAATGATTTGATGCAAATATGATGATGTGTGATAATGTGAATGGTTGTTCATAGTACCCACACAATCATACCATTTAGTACATAAAACCCATTTGAATAAGTGCTTCACATCTTGCACAGACAGTCATGACAGAAGCCAATTTAAACATCACCAAAAACTCCTCTGCTCCAATCTGTTAAAAAATTGACAAAAAACTGTTATTTGCTCTTTAATTGGTACACTCAAGTTCTTGAACTTACAGAAAACTAGGCTTCACTACTCTTTTCTGCTCCTGTGACTTTGCAATTTTAGCGTTGCTTAAGGGTTTTGTTCTTTGATGGGTAAATTTCCTATATTCCATCTGAATATAAAACCCATTTCCAGGATAATGACAAGATGTAATCCGGTTTTTACTTTATGTCAATTTTGAAAGGTTCTAAAATACTTTGACCCTAATTATTGAACTAGTGTTATGATTGAAATTGGGAAAATAAGACTTTTATGTCATCTGCTTGTGAGTTTTAAAATTTTACGAAGTATATAAATGGAGGGAAATTCCTAATCAACCATCTCTTAATTGTAATATAATTGAAATGATATTTGTTTTAATTGTATTAAACATGAAAACACCGATTGCAGATGAAATAACAATGTTTCTGTTATATGAATTACAGGTAGAAAAAAAACAAGGACCTGTAAATATGCTAATTAACTGTGCTGGGATGGGTGTTGCTAAAACATTTGAAGATCTAAAAATTGAAGAATTCAAGGTTTGTTATATTCTTAGGTTTATAATTTTTTATAGGGGAAACTAAGGTTCAATGATTCTAGATATTTTAAACAGGTAAAACAATTTACTTGAGAAAAAAACACATGTTTTGGAAAAGTAAAAGTGTGAAACTGGAGACTTTAAACATCAATTCACTTTAATATAGACTCACTCAAATTCACACATGCCTTATATTCTATTGTCATAGTCACCTATTAAATTTTAAATAGACACTTCATACAAAATTTAACACTATTTTCTCCAAAGATTTCGCTATTTAGAACATTATAATACTGCAAAGAATCCTGACTTACATGAAAGTCTACATTTATAGGAATTAATATGTATTTGTATATTTGGCTTGTTGAACAATGGTAGATGTTTCATATTGTAGAAATTAAGTAAATTATTACTGCAGATTGTTCAATAGAAATAAGAAGATGTGGTATGAGTGCCAATGAGACAACTCTCCATCCAAGTCACAATCTGTAAAAAGTAAACAATTATAGGTCAAAGTATGGCCTTCAACACGGAGCCTTGGCTCACACCAAACAGCAAGCTATAAAGGACCCCAAAATGACTGGTGTAAAACAATTCAAACAGGAAAACCAACGGTCTAATCTATATAAAAAAGAAGAAACACTTATGAACCACATCAACAAACTACAACCCCTAAACAACAGATTCCTGACTTAGGTCAGGTGAAAACAAATGCAGTCAATTTAAACGTTTTAACAGGTGCCAACTGTCACCCTAACCTGAAACAGTAGTGTAACATTACAACATAGAAAGACACACTATAAAATATCAATTGAAATGGCTTAACTCGATCAAAAAGACATATTAACAAAAACAAGTAAACCAAACCATTTTCATAAATGTGAACATTGCAGTTTCCTGTGCAGCTTACACATGTTTTTTGAAAAATATCACCAGGTACTCTCAAAACCAAAACACATTGTCAGGTAGTTTTTTAACCAAAACACATCATCATGTGTTCTAAAATCAAAACACATCATCTGGTACTCTCAAACACAGAATACATCAGGTGGTACTCTCAAACACAGAATACATCATGTGGTACTCTCAAAACCAATCATATCATCAGATACTCTCAAAACAAAAACATATGATCAGGAGCTCTCAAAACCAAAACACATCATCTGGTACTCTCAAGACCAAAACACATCATCATTTATTCTCAAAACCAAAACATATCATCAGGTACTCTCAAAGCAAAACACATGATCAGGAACTCTCAAAACCAAAAAATAACATCAAATACTCCCAAAACCAATCATATCATCAGATACTCTCAAAACAAAAACACATGATCAGGAGCTCTCAAAACCAAAACACATCATCTGGTACTCTCAAAACCAAAACACATCATCAGGTAATCTCAAAACCAAAACACATCATCAGGTACTCTCAAAGCAAAACACATGATCAGGAACTCTCAAAAACAAAACACATCATCTAATACTCTCAAAACCAAAACACATCATCAGGTCATCTCAAAACCAAAACACATCATCAGTTATTCTCAAAACCAAAACACATCATCAGGTACTCTCAAAACCAAAATACATCTTAGGTACTCTCAAAACAAAAACACATTATCTGGTACTCTCAAATACAAAACACATCATCAGGTACTCTCAAAACCAAAATACATCATTAGGTTCTCCTAAAACAAAAACAAAACATTATCTGGTACTCTCAAACACAAAATACATCATCATTTACTCTCAAAACCAAAACACATCATCAGGTAATCTCAAAACCAAAACACATCATCAGGTACTCTCAAAGCAAAACACATGATCAGGAACTCTCAAAAACAAAACACATCATCTAATACTCTCAAAACCAAAACACATCATCAGGTCATCTCAAAACCAAAACACATCATCAGTTATTCTCAAAACCAAAACACATCATCAGGTACTCTCAAAACCAAAATACATCTTAGGTACTCTCAAAAACAAAAACACATTATCTGGTACTCTCAAATACAAAACACATCATCAGGTACTCTCAAAACCAAAATACATCATTAGGTTCTCCTAAAACAAAAACAAAACATTATCTGGTACTCTCAAACACAAAATACATCATCATTTACTCTCAAAACCAAAACACATCATCAGGTAATCTCAAAACCAAAACACATCATCAGTTATTCTCAAAACCAAAACACATCATCAGGTACTCTCAAAACCAAAATACATCTTAGGTACTCTCAAAAACAAAAACACATTATCTGGTACTCTCAAATACAAAACACATCATCAGGTACTCTCAAAACCAAAATACATCATTAGGTTCTCCTAAAACAAAAACAAAACATTATCTGGTACTCTCAAACACAAAATACATCATCATTTACTCTCAAAACCAAAACATATCATCAGATACTCTCAAAACCAAAACACATTATCTGTTTCTCTCAAAACCTAACCATGTCATCAGGCACTCTCAAAACCAAAATACATCATCAGATACTCTCAAAACAAAAACACATCATCAGTTATTCTCAAAACCAAAATGTATCATCAGGTACTCTCAAAGCAAAACACATGATCAGGAACTCTCAAAACCAAAACACATCATCTGGTACTCTCAAAACCAAAACACATCATCTGGTACTCTCAAAACCAAAACACATCGTTAAGTACTCTCAAAACAAAACAAACTTCAAGTACTCTCAACATAAAAGCGCATCATCTGGTACTCTCAAAAGCAAAACACATCATCTGGTACTCTCAAAACCGAAACACATCATCAGTTATTTTCAAAACCAAAACTCATTATCAGGTACTCTCAAAACAGAAACACATCATCAGTTATTCTCGAAATCAAAACACATCATTAGATACTCTCAAAACAAAAGACATCATCAGATACTCTCAAAACAAAAAACATCATTAGATACTCTCAGAATAAAACACATCATTATGTATTCTAAAAACCAAAACAAAGATTATCTGGTTCTCTCAAAACCAAAACACATCATCAGGTACTCTCAAAACCAAAACACATCATCAGGAATTCTCAAAACAAAACACATCATCATGTATTCTCAAAATGAAAACACATCATCAGATAAAAAACAAAGAAAATCATCAGGAATTCTCAAAACAAAACACATCATCATGTATTCTCAAAATCAAAACTCATCATCAAATAAAAAACAAAGAAAATCATCAGATATTCTCAAAACCAAAACACATCATCAGATACTCTCAAAACCAAAACACATTATCAGGTACTCTCAAAACCAAAACAAATCATCAGGTATTTTCAAAACCAAAACACATCATCATAAGTTCTCAAAATAAAAGCACATCATCTGTACTCTCAAAACCAAAACACATTATCAGGTACTTTCAAAACCAAAACACATCATCTGGTACTCTTAAACCCCAGAATACATCATGTGGTACTCTCAAAACCAATCATATCATCAGATACTCTCAAAACAAAAACATATGATCAGGAGCTCTCAAAACCAAAACACATCATCTGGTACTCTCAAGACCAAAACACATCATCATTTATTCTCAAAACCAAAACATATCATCAGGTACTCTCAAAGCAAAACACATGATCAGGAACTCTCAAAACCAAAAAATAACATCAAATACTCCCAAAACCAATCATATCATCAGATACTCTCAAAACAAAAACACATGATCAGGAGCTCTCAAAACCAAAACACATCATCTGGTACTCTCAAAACCAAAACACATCATCAGGTAATCTCAAAACCAAAACACATCATCAGGTACTCTCAAAGCAAAACACATGATCAGGAACTCTCAAAAACAAAACACATCATCTAATACTCTCAAAACCAAAACACATCATCAGGTCATCTCAAAACCAAAACACATCATCAGTTATTCTCAAAACCAAAACACATCATCAGGTACTCTCAAAACCAAAATACATCTTAGGTACTCTCAAAACAAAAACACATTATCTGGTACTCTCAAATACAAAACACATCATCAGGTACTCTCAAAACCAAAATACATCATTAGGTTCTCCTAAAACAAAAACAAAACATTATCTGGTACTCTCAAACACAAAATACATCATCATTTACTCTCAAAACCAAAACATATCATCAGGTAATCTCAAAACCAAAACACATCATCAGGTACTCTCAAAACCAAAATACATCATTAGGTTCTCCTAAAACAAAAACAAAACATTATCTGGTACTCTCAAACACAAAATACATCATCATTTACTCTCAAAACCAAAACATATCATCAGATACTCTCAAAACCAAAACACATTATCTGTTTCTCTCAAAACCTAACCATGTCATCAGGCACTCTCAAAACCAAAATACATCATCAGATACTCTCAAAACAAAAACACATCATCAGTTATTCTCAAAACCAAAATGTATCATCAGGTACTCTCAAAGCAAAACACATGATCAGGAACTCTCAAAACCAAAACACATCATCTGGTACTCTCAAAACCAAAACACATCATCTGGTACTCTCAAAACCAAAACACATCGTTAAGTACTTTCAAAACAAAACAAACTTCAAGTACTCTCAACATAAAAGCGCATCATCTGGTACTCTCAAAAGCAAAACACATCATCTGGTACTCTCAAAACCGAAACACATCATCAGTTATTTTCAAAACCAAAACTCATTATCAGGTACTCTCAAAACAGAAACACATCATCAGTTATTCTCGAAATCAAAACACATCATTAGATACTCTCAAAACAAAAGACATCATCAGATACTCTCAAAACAAAAAACATCATTAGATACTCTCAGAATAAAACACATCATTATGTATTCTAAAAACCAAAACAAAGATTATCTGGTTCTCTCAAAACAATACACATCATCAGGTACTCTCAAAACCAAAACACATCATCAGGAATTCTCAAAACAAAACACATCATCATGTATTCTCAAAATGAAAACACATCATCAGATAAAAAACAAAGAAAATCATCAGGAATTCTCAAAACAAAACACATCATCATGTATTCTCAAAATCAAAACTCATCATCAAATAAAAAACAAAGAAAATCATCAGATATTCTCAAAACCAAAACACATCATCAGATACTCTCAAAACCAAAACACATTATCAGGTACTCTCAAAACCAAAACAAATCATCAGGTATTCTCAAAACCAAAACACATCATCATAAGTTCTCAAAATAAAAGCACATCATCTGTACTCTCAAAACCAAAACACATTATCAGGTACTTTCAAAACCAAAACACATCATCTGGTACTCTTAAACCCCAAAAACTTCATCATGTATTCTCAAAACCAAAGTATATTATCAGGAACTCTCAAAATCAAACACATCATCTGGTACTCTCAACCAAAAACACATCATCATAAATTCTCAAAACTAAAACACATCATCAGGTATTCTCAAACCCAAAACACATCATCATGAATTCTCAAAACCAAAACACATCATTATCTAATACTCTCAAAACCAAAAAACATCATCTACTACTCTCAAACCTAAAACACATCATCAGATACTCTTAAAACAAAACACATAATTAGGTACCTTCAAAAACAAAACACATCATCAGGTACTCTCAAAACAAAACACATCATCAGATACTCTCAAAATAGAGCACATCGTCAGGTACCTTCAAAAACAAAACACATCATCAGATACTCTCAAAACAAAGCACATCATCAGGTACCTTCAAAAACAAAACATATCATCAGGTACTCTAAAAACAAAACACATTATCAGATACTATCAAAACCAAAAACACATCATCAGATACTCTCAAAACCAAAACACATCACCAGATACTATCAAGACAAAAAACACATCATCAGGTACTCTCAAAAATAAAACACATTATAAGATACTCTTAAAACATAACACATCATCAGTTACTCTCAGATCAAAACACATCATCAGGTACTTTCAAAACAAAAACACATCATCAGATACTTTTAAAACCAAAACACATCATCAGGAACTCTCCAAACCTAAAAACATCATGAGACACTATTCAAATTAAAACACATCATCAGGAACTCTCATAACTAAAACACATCGTCAAATTCTCTCAAAACAAAACACATCAGGTACTCTCAAACCCAAAACACACCATCAGGTACTCTCAAATCCAAAACACATCATCAGATACTTTAAAACCAAAACATCTCATTAGATACTCTCAAAACCAAAACACATCATCAGAAACTCTCAAATCCAAAACACATCATTATGTATTCTCAAAACCAAAACACATCATCAGTTAATCTCCAAACCAAACACATCATAAGGAATTCTCAAAACCAAACACATCATCGGGTACTCACAACCAAAATTTCATCATCATACATTCTCAAAACCAAAACACATCATCAGGTATTCTCAAAACCAAAAAACATCATAAGGTATTCTCAAAACCAAAACACATCACCAGGTACTCTATCAAAAAAAAGCTCTTTATAAGGAACTTTCAAAACCAAACACATCATCAGGTACTCTCAACCAAAAACACATCATCATTAATTCTCAAAACAAAAACACATCATCAGATAATCTCAAAACAAAACACATCACCAGATACTATCAAAACTAAAAATTCATCATCAGGTACTCTCAAAAATAAAACACATCATCAGGTACTCTCAAAAATAAACACATCATCTGATACTCTCAGAACAATACACATCATCAGGTACTCTCAGAACAGAACACATCATAAGGTACTCTCTAAACAAAAACACATCATCAGATACTCTTAAAACCAAAACACATCATCAGGAACTGTCCAAACCTAAACACATCATGAGTCACTCTTCAAACCAAAACACATCATCAGGTATTCTCAAAACAAAAACACATCATCAGGTACTCTCAAAACAAAAACACATCATCAGATACTCTTAAAACCAAAACATATCATCAGGAACTGTCCAAACCTAAACACATCATGAGACAGTCTTCAAACCAAAACACAGGAAATCACATAACTAAAACACAGAATCAGATACTCTCAAAACAAAACACATCATCAGGTACTCTTTAACCCAAAACACATCATCAGGTACTCTCAAAAACAAAACACATGTTCAGATGGTTTAAAAAACCAAAAGACCTCATTAGATACTCTCAAAACCAAAACACATCATTATGTATTCTCAAAACAAAACACATCATCAGATACTCTCAAAACAAAAACACAACAGCAGAAACTCTCAAAACCAAAACACATCATTATGTATACTAAAAACCAAACACATTATCAGGTATTCTCAAAACCAAAACACATGATCAGATCAAAACCAAAACCAAAACACATCATCATTACACTCAAAGCCAAAACACATCATCTGGTACTCTCAAAATCAAAAGTTTGAAAAGCCAAAACTTTATTGCTTGAAAGCACCAAAAACAAAACACACATTATCAGATACTCCCAAAACAAAATACATCACCAGATACTATCAAAACCAAAAACACATTATCAGGTACTCTCAAAAATAAACACATCATCAGGTACTCTCAAAAATAAAACACATCATCAGGTACTCTCAAAACAATACACATCATCAAATACTCTCAAAACAAAATACATCATCAGATACTCTCAGAACAGAACACATCATCAGATACTCTCAGAACAGAACACATCATCAGGTACTCTCAAAACAAAAGCACATCATCAGATACTCTTAAAACCAAAACACATCATCAGGAACTGTCCAAACCTAAACAAATCATGAGACACTCTTCAAACCAAAACACATCATCAGGAACTCTCATAACTAAAACACATCATCAGATACTCTCAAAACAAAACACATCATAAGGGACTCTCAAACCCAAAACACACCATCAGGTACTCTCAAAAACAAAACACATGATCAGATGCTTTAAAAACCAAAAGACCTCATTAGATACTCTCAAAACCAAAATACATTATGAGAAACTCTCAAAACAAAAACACATCATTATGTATTCCCAAAACAAAACACATCATCTGGCACTCTCAAACCCAAAACACATCATTAGATACTTTAAAAACCAAACCACCTCATTAGATACGCTCAAAACCAATACACTTCATCAGAAACTCTCAAAACCAAAACACATCATTATGTATTCTAAAAACGAAACACTATCAGGTATTCTCAAAACCAAAAACACATGATCAGATCAAAACGAAAACACATCATCATGATCTCTCAAAGCCAAAACACACATCATCTGGTACTCTCAAAACCAAAACACTTCATCAGGTACTCTCAAAACCAAAACACATCATCATGAATTCTCAAAACAAAAACAGATAAACATGTATTTCAAAACCAAATCACATAATCATGTATTCTCAAAACCAAAAGTTTGAAAAGCCAAAACTTTATTGCTTGAAAGCATCAAAAACAAAAGAGAGCCTAAGCAACTTTCAATTTTCTTATTAGCAGTTTATACCATGCCTTGCAGTCAGAAACATTTCGAGGACAATTATCATACTCAGACTCCAAATTAAACCAATCAAAATACTGTATTTGGTGTTTCAAGCACTTATTTTGTACTCCAAGTACTGAGTAAAGTTTTATGACAAAGGGCCAATAAATATATATTTAAAATATACAAGTTATTTAGAATAATCGTTAGGATATTTATTTTATTACGGTTAACATTTGACACACTTTTATATATGGAAATTTTTATTTTAGAAATTAATGAACCTGAATTATTTTGGTACTGTACAAACAACTAAAGCAGTGATCAGTAAAATGAAAGAACGCGGAGGTGGAAGGATTGTTTTCCTCTCATCTCAAGCTGGTCAGCTTGGCTTGTTCGGTTATACAGCCTATGCTGCATCAAAATTTGCTCTCCGAGGGCTGGCTGAGTCTTTACAAATGGAGGTTAGTAGATAAAATAATTATGTTGATGAATGTGCTAATTTAGTTGGTTTTGAATCATTAGTATTAATACAGGGATATTTTTTTTCCAAAACTGAGAAATATAAGGTGAAATTAAATGGCTGAAAAATATACAGAATAAGTAGTAACAAATTTTGTTTTCAGTGGCCTGACATTATTGTTATTTTTTTATTAAACAATGATATTTTTTATATTTTGGGGAACCAGTTTGGCTTTTGAATTGAGGGATAATGGGGAAGTTAAAATTGATTTAAACCAGACTTTGAAAAATAATATATTGGTATATCATTAGAATTTGTTTTGTTATAGCAGGGTTTTTACTTGATTTATTTCAAGTGACTGGGAAGGGCTTAATCAGTTTCGCTTATCATAGATCAGTCCATCTTTAGACAGATATTTTGGGAGAAACTCATCAACCAGTTATGGTAGTTGATGCGATTAAGATATGTAAACAGTACATGTGTATTCGCAAAGTGACACAGCCGTTGAATTAATTGTAAATTGGAGTTTAAAAACACATCAAAAACATTATCACATTGGCGAAATTGTGGAAATATGAAACTGAGTAGTAAACTTTGACAACAGCAGTTTCAAAATATACATATGTGACTGTTTGTATTCTATTGTGTTTTAATAAACTTTTTTTCTATTTATTTAAAAATGACATTATTATTTTTTTTTGGTGGGGGGGGGGGGGGGGGCATATTTTGCAAATGGTGTTTGACTTATTAATTTCCTTTGTTAAACAGCACAAAGAATTTTCTCTCTAAGATTTTACTAAATGCATATTAAAAGTAAGAAAACATAAGTTGTAAGTATTTTCTTTTTTATATGAAGTTTTACAAATCACATTTAATATTCATCTCACAATTGGAAAGGTTTTAAACAGACTAATGCAATATCAAAATCTTTAAAACATGTAAAACACATAAGCTATATGACTTAAAAATGTTTATAAATTTTAAACTATCATATTCATCCCATACCACTACATACACTCAGTTCTTTTGTATTGCTGTTTGAAAACACTGATAGGTGATTAGAAAACAGTAATAATAATTATAACGGCAATCATCCTTATCACACAAATCTTCATATAGACTGACTTCATGCAAACTAAAAGAAAAGCTCTGCCCCATTATTTGATAATAGATTATCTGCTGTCATCCTTCTTTTTTCATATAATTACAGGTGCGTCCATACAATATCTATGTAACAGTAGCCCATCCTCCTGATACTGATACTCCTGGTTTTGAAGACGAGGAACGCAATAAGGTATAAGAAATTCAGCAAATTTTGTGCAACTATTACAACAAATTTTTCGTATATTGGTATCACGTCATCAGGTTTGTCCAAAGACATTTGGTTTTCGGACAATAATTTTAGTAAATGTAAATAGAAATCTATGAAATTTAAACACAAGGTTTATAACCACAAAAGGAAGGTTTGGATCGATTTAGGGGGTTATAGTCCGAACAGTTTAGGAATTAGGGGCCAAAAAGGGGCCCAAATAAGCATTTTTCTAGTTTCCATTGGCACTCATACCACATCTTCCTATATCTAATAACTTGTGGAACAGAGTATGGATCTCTCTGAAATTATACCACAAGTTTCCATACTACAAAGGGATGGTTAGGATTGGCTTTGGGGGGTAATGGCTCAAACCGTTTAGGGAATAAGGGGCAAAAAAGGGGAAAAACAAGGGTTTCCTGGTTAATGGACAATTAAAAAAAAGTACAATGTTTTGTTTGGATTACCTCCCTTATACTGCTTTTAAATTATGTATAAAGAAATGTTGTATTGTCTTGAGGTGATTAGCTGTGAATCTATTTTTAGAAGTTACTATTTAAAAATGCTGATTAAGGAATATTAATTTTAGCCATGATTATGTATGTCATTTTCTATTTTAAGACATTTATGATGTATTTAAATGGGTAATTATGGTTGCAAACTCCATTGGAAATATGAATTGAGATTATGACCATATCTTGAGGTAAAGAATTTATTTTTTTGGAAAAAGGGGGGTGGGGTAAAAAAGAAATTAAGAGTGGGACAATTTTTTCTCATTTCAGATTTCAGAAATTAAAAAGAAAATTTCTTCAAAAAAGGCGGGGGTATTTAAATTTTTGAGGGGGGGGCTCAATTCGCAACAGCATAGTTTATTGCACAAAAGCAATAAAAAGGGGGGTCAATTTTTTTTTGGGGGGGGGGGGGGGGGGAGGAGGGGTCAATTTGCAACAACATAGTGTATTGAACAAAAGCAAAAAAAATGAATATAAATTCAAATCATATAACCAATTCAAAGTTCTTTGACTACAGTTATTCTGTGTCAGAAACCTATTATGTGTCAAATATTTAATTACAATCCAAATTCAGACCTGTATCAAGCATGAATATTGTGTCCATTTTTGCCCCAACTGTTCAGGGTTGGACCTCTGTGTTCGTATCGAGCTGCGCTCGGCGAAGCAATTATGAATTATTTTGTATAAGAGCATTGTTAGTATTCTTAGTATTTACATAATTATAATAATTATACTGTTTCAGAAGTAATATTACTGATAGATTATAAATTTAAAAGTAGGTTAACTATATACCGCCATCTTGGATTGTAAAATAGCAGTTCACAATAGGTCTAGTTCTTTGCTTCAATCTGCAAAATATGAGACAAATTGGCAATTAATGGGTTAGACTGTGTATTGGAATAAAGAAAAGTAAGTGATTTATTGCATAATTCAGACTGATTTATCAAATACCAAACATTTGTGTTTGTTCCAATCAAATTGTCAACTAAGTCATTTAGGGGAGATAACTCAAATAGTAAAATTTTATAAATGAATGATAGAAAATTTTACTTGTAACAAGAAAACAAGGTTAGAGACACCATTTTTTCTTTTTGTTTTCTTTAAGCCTATTTTAAAACCTATCTTCTCATATTTTGTTTCAAAATTCTATCTCATAGATTTCTTTTTATTCACAAAAAGTGTTTTTTCATGAACAAGCTATGCAAATTTGGGCAATTTTGCACGACTTGTAGCTTAAAAATTAGCACAGTGACCCATACTTTTTATTTAATTTTTGAAAAAAGCATGGAAAATCTACATTCTGGCAAAGTATAAGAAAATTCTATCTAAGGAAATATATACCAATGATCCACCTTAAATGCATCAAAAAAGTCATTGAAATAGTATTTCACAACACCAAAGAATATTAGTTTTGATATTTTGTGCAGGTTATTATATCACTATACAACTAAAAGAGATTGTAAATTGTTAGTAATGAGCAATCTAAAATATAGCTGTATAGTATTTTATCAATCAACAGTGTGTGTATTCAGTTTAAGTATTAGAAATTCTATGTTGATTTTTTGTTACAGCCAGAAGAAACAAAACTGATCTCAGATACATCTGGTTTATTTACACCTGATGCCGTGGCTAAACAGATACTTCAGGATTCTGTGGTAAGTAAATAATAGATCCAGTGTGGTCATACCATTGTTTATTTAAAAAAGAAACATTTGACAGAATTATTTGATTGAAACATACTTCATTATTAAGACAATTGTATTTTACTATGCTTTTCATCTTGAAGGCTGTATTCCAAGCAAAATATAGGAAATGAAGATGGACTGTTATCTTTTCAAAATGAATAGTTATTTTATTTCTAGGGAATTGCAGGTTTTGTTGAAATAATAGATGAATTGGTTTAAGATATATTATGTTTTAATTCACCAAGTTTACTGGACTAATGTTAGCTATTGCTACCAATAGATGTTAGTGTTGTCATTTAACTTTTTGTATCTTCTTAATCTCCTCGGAAAAGACGGTGCCTAAGAATACCAAATTGGCCGGAATAATTTATTAAGGATATAGTATTTTATAGTTATATAGGTTTAGGTGTGACGATGTTAACCAATTTAACCTCCCATGTTTTATCAGAGAAAGGAATAGTTTGTGTTTGTATCCAGAAAAGTGCTTAAGACGTTAAAATTTTTTAAAGTGTTATCCATCTTGATGTCACACTATCAGAGATTTTTTTAATTTCCTTTGTTAAGATTAGTTGATGTAATCCACCATAACTTGTTATATTGTGTTGACAGAATGGAAGATTTTGTAGTTATATTGGTTTAGATGGGTGGATGTTAGCAAACATTACTTGTGGAATGTCTCCTGTACATTCAATGTTTGATGCAATACAACAGGTAATATTCACAGCTTTAATATAAATGTAGGACATGTTCTAACAAAAACACAGGAAAATATTCTGAAAGGCATGGATATACAAAAAATAAGGAGATGTGGTATGATTGCCAATGAGAACTATCCACTACAGTTCAATTGAGGTGGATGTAAGCCATTATAGGTCATTGCACAACCTTAAACAATGAGAAAACCCCATACAGGATAGTCAGTTATAAAAGGTCCTAACATGAAAAATGTGAAACAATTCAAACAAGAAAAATAAAGGCCTAATTTATAGCAATTCAATTTACGAAAATAACAATTTTACAAATTTTTGAATTTTTGGCAAAAGCTATAGTATAAACTGTAAACAGCAAAAATGATCAGGAAGATAAGCCCATTACAAGTGTTTTGGCTTTTATGTTGAAAATTATAACAGACGGAAAGAAACTGAGCCAGACAAGATCTACAAAGAAGTCTAGTTAAGTGAAATGATTTTGAAATGACTCCTTTATATAGAAGTTATTGTCCTTAAATGACTTTTTTAACCATTTTTCAATTTTAAGCTTTTGTTTTGAAAAATTATTAAAAAAAATAGAACTGTTTACAGTAAAAGCAAAGCAAGATATAAAATTTTTACAGTAAAAGCAAAGCAAGATCTACAAAGGTCAAACATGATCAATTTTTTTAAAGAATTGGACATCTCATATGAGTTGTGATCCAGAGGAAATTTGGTCTTTATATTCCATATCGTTTCATGTGAGAGATTCATGCTCCTTGTAGCCTCTGGTTTATTACAAGAATGAACCTTATTTTTAATGTTTTAATAATTTATGGCAAAAAAATATTACTAATCGTTTCTCTTTGTAGGTACTGACAGTGAGTGTGTTTAGACTGGTTTCCTTTTTCTACTTATTTCATTTTACCAGGATTGTCAGTAAATGTAAAGCGAGAAAAGATAAAGAACAAAAAGAAAAGATGCTGTGATATTACTTACAAGACTTATACAAAGAGAACAAAATATTTGACGTCTTAGACAACTGTCTTTCTTATATGGATGGATATTCTTCATTGTTCCATTTTAAAAAATATTTCATTGTGTATACTATATGAATGAAAGGTTATTGTTGACTCATATACAGTGTTTAAATCATTATAAATCAAAGTCATTTCCATAGCTTTTTTTATTTTATTTTTTAGATATTTTATTTTAAAAATTTAGTTTTATATATAACAGTGTCTTAGGGATGTTCACAGATCTAGTATTTGACTTTTTATCAGATATTCAGAATCCTCTGGTATCATCCATGTAGTGCCATTTTAAAATTTGCCCACTAAACCCTTCTTTTCTTTTCATATTTTTATAACATATAGTTTAAAAAGCCATTTTTATCATACATAATCCTTGTTATTTTTTCAAAGTTTTTTAGAAAGAAAAAAGGAGTCAATGTTAAATGTATGAAAAATCTATAGAGAATCTTTTCACACTAAATTTCAATGGCTAGCATCTGAAAAACTAAGGATACCAACCTTTCATATTTTTTTCTGCTTTTAATGTTTCATTATTTATACATACATTTGTACTATCAATTTATAGCAGTCTTTCAAAGAGGTTGTTATTTTTGAAACAGAGCAGCCAACATTGTTAAGTCAGTACTTTCATTATTAGTCAGAATCTTCTAACATGGTATATGTATTTGTTTCATCAGATCATGCCTTATAGCTGAGATGTAGCTATTGATATTGTGTAGATATATACATTGCTGTGTGTAGATATATACATTGCTGTGTGTAGATATATACATTGCTGGACAATTGGACACAAGTGTTCATCACCTACAACTTTTTCATATATATTTCATATAAAATCACATTTTTTAAATATTATTCTGGCAGTGTTTGTGTTTTGAGTTTTACAAACCAGTTGTGGAAAAATGCAGAATTGTCTGAATTTTATATGTTTATTTGGTGATGGTCTTGTCTTCAGTTGTTTTTGTTTTCTCTTGATGTAAATATACTGATAATTATGTATGGTTTTATTTTAGTTGAAATATATTGCAAATATCATGATGTAAAATAAAACTTGTGATTAAATCATCAGAAAATGAAATTAATTCATAACAAAATTTGAACTTAATAACCATTATAACCTGTGACAAATCTACTTCTTTTGGTACCAAATTTATTAAAATAAGACCAGCAATGATCCGACAATATTTTTTTTTAATGTAGTTTTATATAAAATGGATATAGCGAAAAGTCAAAAGAGACCCATTCTTATGTCTATGCACTGTACATGTATCTGAAAGAATAAAAATGTTTTGCTCATTAAACTTTGTAATGTGAAATATCAGGGATAAAACTTTTGACACATATCTGTGAGTAATAATTAATATATTTTAATGTCAATTATTATGATTATCTTTATGCAACCAAAGTTTTGTTTTATGTACTATTAAAGAAATATTTAAAATATTGTGTTTAAATATCAATGATATTTATATAAATTATATTAAAAGAGCGAGTTCGGTTGCAAATGCTATTCCTGGTATAGGGATTAAATAAACTGTGAAACACACTGAAACTGAACAAAAAATTATTTAGCTGTATTATTGTCAAGCCTGAGACATTTATGTCTCGAAAGCGAGACATAACGATCCTAGATTTGTTGGCGGCGGCTGCAGCATCAACATATTGGTTCAGTCTGTGGTTAAAGTTTTTTTAGACATCAATAACTTTGTCAAACCTTCATGGAATTATAGGAAATTTGGACAGAAGCTTGTCTATGACCAAAATAGAGTATCAAGAGCAACATTTTGAAAATATTTATTTTCATTTTCCATATTTTACCGATAAATGGACTTAGTTTTTTTACTGTTAACATTCAGATTCAGTCCGAGTTTAAAGATTTTCAGTCATCAATCACTTTGTCAAACCTTCATGGAATTTTATGAAATTTGGACAAAAGCTTGTTTATGACCAAAATACTTTATCCAGAGTAAAATTTTGGAAATATTTATTTTTATTTTTCCGTATTTTAGTGATAATGGACTTTATAACAGTTAACAAGTAGATAGAGTCTGGGGTTAAAGTTTGTTACACATCAATTACTTTGTCAAGCCTTCATAGGATTTTATGAAACTTTGGCAGAAGCTTTTTTATGATTAAGAGATAATGTCTGAAGCAAACTTTTGAAAATATATTTTCATTTTCAGTATTTTTCCGATAGATGGACTTAGTTTTTTACAGTTAACATTTACAGACAGTCAGGGATTAAATAATTTTGACATGATAAATTTGTAAACCTTCATGGATAGTAATGAAACATGTACAGAAGCTAATCTTCAAGACCAAGAAATAGCATCTAAAGGAAAAGTTTGAATTTTTTTTTAAATTCTGTATTTTACTGATAAATGTAATCACTTTTTAAGTCAGCATTACACTATTACACTCACAGTAGCAATCGTAGGCGAGACACAGGGTTCCACGGAACCCCTTATGAATTTTTATATATTTTATATATAAAAAAAATTTGAGGTCGTATATTGGTACGATGTTGGCGTCGTCGTCCCAAGACACATTGATTTTCGCACTCTGACTTTAGTTCAAGTGAATGGATCTCTATGAAATTTTACCATAAGGTTCAATACCACAAAAGGAAGGTTGAGATTGATTTTGGGGGTTATGGTACCAACAGTTAAGGAATTAGGGGCCAAAAATAAGCATTTTGTAACTTCCAGACATAAATTGTGTGTTAGTGTATGGATCTCTCTGACATTGTACCACAAGGTTCCATATCACAAAGGGAATGCTGGGATTGATTATGGGGGTAATTGCCTCAAAATTTTAGGAATTAGGGGCCAAAAAAGGGGCAAAAAACAAGCATTTTTCTAGTTTCAGGACAATAACTTGTGTGTAAGTGTATGGATCTTTATGAAATTGTACTACAAGGTTCCATATCACAAAGGGAAAGCTGGAATTGAGTTTGGTGGTAATTTCCCAAAACATTTAGGAATAAGGGGCCAAAAAGGAGCCAAAAATAAGCATTTTTCTAGTTTCCAGACAATAACTTGTGTGTAAGTGTATGGATCTCTCTAAAATTGTACTGCAAGGTACCATACCACTAAGGGAAGGCTGGGATTGATTTTTGGGGTAATTGCCTCAAAATTTTAGGAATTAGGGGCCCTAAAGGGGCAAAAAACAAGCATTTTTCTAGTTTCAGGACAATAACTTGTGTGTAAGTGTATGGAACTTTATGAAATTGTACCACAAGGTTCCATATCACAAAGAAAAGCTGGGTTTGAGTTTGGGGGTAATTGCCCTAAATGATAGGAATTTGGGGCCAAAAAGGGGCCTTAAAACAAGCATTTTTCTAGTTTCCAGACAATAACTTGTGTTCAAGTGTATTGATCTCTCTGAAATTGTACTGCAAGGTACCATACCACAAAGGGAAGGCTGAGATTGAGTTTGGGGGTGATGAATCATAAGGGGGTTCAACAAATTTGGGGGAAGTTTTTTTTTTCCTTTTTTTTCTTTTTTTTTCTTTAAAATTTTCCATTTTAAATTGGTTATTTCTGATTTATATATAAAAGCAAATAATAATGATATGGTTTGAATAGGTAAATTAAATTTTTTTAAGTTCTTAGACCACATTCATTCTGTGTCAGAAACCTATGCTGTGTCAAATATTTAATCACAATCCAAATTCAGTGCTGTATCAAGGTTGAATGTTATGTCCATACTTGCCCCACTGTTCAGGGTTCGACCTCTGCGGTTGTATCAAGCTGCGCCCAGGGGAGCATTTTATTAAAAATTTAGGTTCCAGCTAAAAATCATTTTGACATTTTAACTGAAAGCCATATATATTGATCTAATATGAAATATTGCTTGAATTTCGTCTTTAAGCTCTCAAAACCAAAATCTAGAATGAACTGACTTCAGATGGACTTACAAGTTTGGGAACGACTGTTGTAACTCTTTGAATCATCATTCATGTCACTTGAGCTTCCATTTTATGTTTCGTAGTCTTATCTGAAAATCTGTGGAGTAAAGAAACTCATAATAGGATACATGATTTTGTACCAATATTGGTATTTATGATTTCAATGTGTCAGTGTGTTATCTGTAAATGTTGCCTTGGAAACATAATTGGATAACACACAGATATATTTTTATGTCACACGTACATGGTAGTAGAGTGGCATTATGTATTCTTGTTTGTTGATCTGTCTGTTGGTTTCTTTTTCGTATCATGTTCAAATTATTGTTTAAGATAGTTTACTATAAAGTTTGGTTGCACCAACTTAAAACTTAGTAAACATGGTTATTATGATGAGAACTTTTTAGATTATATGCCAAATAAACGTTTTCACCAAGATTTTTTTATGGTTCAATGTACATATAAATGTGATAGTCGAAAATTTGAACATTCTGAGGTTAAAGTTTTTGTTATGGTAGTTTACCATGAAGTTGTGGTCACATCAATTAATAACTTAGTACACATGTTTATTGTTTGGCAAACTTTTAAAATGTTTTGCAAGATTATGATTTTTTACCATGATATCCACTTCACTGAACATAGAAACATGATAGTGTGGGCGTAGCACGTTGTCCTATGGAGTATGGACACATATTCTTGTTAAATAATTATCACAACCTGAGTGTCTGTTGTGCTATTACAATTACGCATTCAAACATGTGATGGTTAAATTGATATATTTTATACATATTTAAAAATATTTCAATACTAATAACATGAATAACTTTGTTTATATCAATCTTAAATAATATTTGTATGTAGCTTTTATAAATTTATTATAAGTAGTCTTTTTGTTAAGCCTGCCAAATTTATTTCGCAAAGAGAGACATAGTGATCCTAGATTCCGGTGTTGACGGCGTCAACATTTAGGTTCAGTATGTGGTTAAAGTTTTTTAGACATCAATAACTTTGTCAAACCTTCATTAAAATTTATAAAATTTAGACAGAAGCTTTTTTATAACCAAAATACAGTATCCAGAGCAAAATTTTGAAAATATTTAATTTTCATTTTTCCATATTTTACTGATAAATGGACTTAGTTTTTTACAGTTTAAAATCAATAACTTTGTAAAACCTTCATAGAGTTTTATGAAACGTTGGCAGAAGCCTTTTAATGAAAAGAGATAATGTCTGAAGCAAACCTTTGAAAATATATTTTTTCATTTTTAGTATTTTTCTGATAGATGGACCTTGTTTTTTACAGTTAACATTTATAGACAGTCTAGGATTACTTTTTTTGACATGATAAGTATGTAAACCTTCATGGATTGTTATGAAAATTGGACAGAAGCTAATCTTTAAGACTAAGAAATAGCATTTAAAGAAAAAGTTTGATTTTTTTTTTCAAGTTCTGTATTCTACTGATAAATGGACTCACTTTTTAAGACCACATTACACTTTTACACTGACAGCAGCAATCACAGGCCAGACACAGAGTTCCGCGGCACCCCTTACAATTTTTTTTTAGAGTTGCATGTGTAGCTAATGGTTTAAGGGGAGTGTAGTAGTCTTTTTAAGCTCACCTGGCTGAAAGGCCAAGTGAACTTTTCTCATCACTTGGTGTCCGTCGTCAGTCTTTGTCGTCATCCATTAACTTTTACAAAAATCTTCTCCTCTGAAACTGCTGTACCAAAGTTAACCAAACTTTACCACAATCATTATTTGGTTATCTAGTTTATAAAATGTGTCCGATAGCTAAAAATAGAACATAGTGGTAAAATG